ATTAAAGAAACACACCCGCTGACTTCCCGATATTTGCAACTGAAAAGGGAAATTTTCACATTTTTCATTTTGAATACAGATTACTCAAACATTCATGAATCATCCTACATACTAATTTTGATATGGTAAATGAGAAGATGAAACTATAATTACATGTTTTAAGTCAATTTTGCATTACATGTCTCCTTTAAAAATCAATTTCCATCAGATCTCTCTGGTCATTAACTCATTCTAAGATTCTTCTATTATTAACTTCACTCATTGTGTTTCCAATCCTCTGGTGTTTTCCGAGCTCTTCTCTTTCCTGTTGAAATAGACACCGCTCTCTCCATCGCGGTTCTGTGACGGATGAATGAGCCTTTGTCTGAAAGATCTGAGACCTCACGCTGAAACTAAATATGAAATTCCTTTGTGTTCGGTGTCCAGGCTTGTCCGCAGTATCTCACCATCTCAATATGTCTAATTGGCTCCCAGCGTTACACTTTAGAGCAATGGAAAAGAACAGTTAGCAAATACAAACAGTCAAATGTAAAATATAACGGGCTCTTATTCATGGATCTATAATAAAAAGTGGATCAGGCATTCCCCCTCTGTCCCGGCTCCAGAACGACTAGTGGACCACTACTACTACTACTACTGCTACTGTTACTAGTAATATCACTGCCACCACTACTAGTACTACCACTAGTACAACCACGAATACAACCACTACTGCTACTACTACTGCTACTATTAATACCACTACCACCACTACTAGAACTACCACTAATACGACCACTACTACTATTACTACTACTACTGCTACTGCTGCTTCTACTACTACTGCTGCTACTACTACTGCTGCTACTACTACTGCTGCTACCACTACTGCTGCTACCACTACTGCTGCTACTACTACTGCTGCTGCTACTACTGCTAGTACTACTTCTACTGCTACTGCTACTACTATTACTACTGCTACTCCTACTACTGCTACTACTAATACCACTTCCACCACCACCACCACTACTACTACTACAACTACTACTACTACTGCTACCACTACCACCACTAATACTATTAGTACCACTACTACCGCTACTAGTACTACCACTAATATGACCACTACTACTACTACTACTACTACTACTACTATTGCTACTATTGCTACTACTACTACTGCTGCTACTACTACCGCCACCACTACTAGTACTACCACTAAAATGACCACCACTACTACTCCTCCTCCTCCTACTACCACTACTACTACTACAACTACTACTACTACTGCTACCACTACCACCACTAATACTATTAGTACCACTACTACCGCTACTAGTACTACCACTAATATGACCACTACTACTACTACTACTACTACTACTACTACTACTACTACTACTACTACTACTATTGCTACTATTGCTACTACTACTACTGCTGCTACTACTACCGCCACCACTACTAGTACTACCACTACTAGTACTACCACTAAAATGACCACTACTACTCCTCCTCTCCTACTACTACTACTACTACTACTACTACTACTACTACTATCACTACTACTACTACTACTACTACTACTACTACTACTACTACTACTACTACTACTACTACTACTACTACTACTACTACTGCTGCTACTAATACCATTACCACTACCACCACCAACACTACTAGTACACCCACTACTACTACAACTACTACTACCACTACCACCACCACTACTAGTACGAACACTACTAGTACAACTACTGCAATTACTACTACTACTACTACTACTACTACTACTACTACTACTACTACTCTACTACTACGACTACTTCTACTACTACTACTACTACTCTACTACTACTACAACTACACACACACACCATTGTTTCTAGCCAACACCGCTGCATACTGAGAAAAACCTGTACTTAAATCCATTTTGTATCTTAAAACGTATTTGCCATTGTTTGCTAATGCGGTGTTTGCATTGTGTCTCTATGGTAATTTCGAAACATTCCTCTATAGACATACATGCACTACCACCTGGCATCCACTCATGTAGAGCGGGTTTTCCTCAAAGTTTTCTATTTATGCTGTAACTTCCACTGTGAAAGCCCCTTACTTCACATGTGACTCTGTGTGTGTGCTGTTTGTAGATGCTTCCAGGAAACGGCTTCAGGTACAAAAATGAGTCAGCCATTTTCAGTTTAAGTCTGTGGTTTTTACACTTATACACTTTTTCCTTTATACTCATCAGAACAGCTGCGCCACCACTGTATTTTAGATCTATGTCAAACAAAACCACAACTTTGTTACTTCTACTCATTAAGACACAAATAGAACTGAAATAAAAGTTACTCAAATTGACTCTTGTGTAGTATTAGACTGTATTAGAATCATTCATACATGTTTGAGTAATCCTACTTCTCAAAATATTTCCCAGAACACTCATCTCAACCTCATGATGTCATCAGGTGGTAATCCAAAAGTGTTTCAACCCCTGTCTGGGTCCCTTTTGTGGTACAGCACAACAGTAAACAAAGCGGTCGAGATGGATGTAGACAAAGCCATACATTCTTTGTTGGCAGCGATTCCCGAAATCAAGGATTTAAAGCCAGAACAAAGAGAATGTTTGGTGAATTTTATCAAGGGGAAAGACGTTATTGCCCTTCTTCCTACGGGATTTGGAACATTACATACGTTACGACCAAATAGCAGTGACTGGTTAAATAAAAAAAGTACCCCTCTACCGTCGAGTGACCGAAACCTAATGATGCAAAGGTCAGACGGTTTCAACAAAGTGAAACTGGCTGGTGAATCAGGCTACCATAACAATGCATTTAAGCAAAAAGAAACAGAGGGAACTACATAGACCATGATCCTTTGCTCTGTCAGTCCAATTTACACAATGAAAAAACTCTTTTAAACACTTTTAAATGTGAATGTTTATGGCAGGACCCAAAGCTTGTCACGGCTTTGTAAAACGAAAAAGTAGTATATTCACAGTGTTCGCTTCTACAAAATATTGCAATAAATATCGTACCATGAGATGCATATCGTGAAAAAATTGTAAGAGAAAGTTGGATATTGTTACATCCCTATTAGACTCTATTAATATTATAATTATATATAATTATTTATTATTTAAAGAACGATAATTAAGACACAAATACAATAGAAATAGAAGTTACTACTAGGAATGCACCGATACCGATGCTGGTATTGAATATCGATGCAGATCCAGGAATAGTTACTGGATCAGATATTTGTTCCATATATCTGTTCAGCCGATATCCTGGTTAAGGCTTTTGTTAGACATATAAGTCTAAAATGTTTGATATAGTTTGAACTTTAATTTACACAAAGCTTTTCAACAGTTACCTGCTGGATCAGATTTGTAGTAAGTTAGCTGTTTTGTTGGAAATAGGTGCCTTTTTCAATTCCTGCGCTAGTATCAGTTAATATATAAGTCAAAGTATCGATATTGGTGTTCAAAACAAAAACAAACAAAAAAAGAACTAAAAAGAGTGGTATTGGTGCATTCCTGGTTACTACTTCTTGGCAATGGGAAATGTAATGATGTATGAATATTACGAATGTTGTTTTGAGTGTGTGGCACATTTGATTACAGGCCCTATGTCATTTATCATTTCAAATTATTTGTGTGGGTGTAATCATTTGATTTGTGGTAATTACTGACTCAAACCTCTGAAAACATTTGAAGACATGTTTTAACTCATGTTGGATTGTCAAAAATCTGTTAATAATTACTGATATCAAGACAAATTACTTTTTTTAATTACTACTAGTTCTACCGCTTCTATTACTGCTACTACTGGTACTACTACTGCTACTACTGCTGGTACTACTGCTGGTCCTACTGTTACTACTACAACTACTGCTACTACTTCTACTACTGCTACTACTTCTACTACTGCTACTATTGCTGCTACTGCTACTACTACTGCTACTTCTACTACTACTACTACTATTACTACTACTGCTACTACTTCTACTGCTACTTCTATAACTACTACTACTACTATTACTACCACTACCACCACTACTAATACCACTACCACCACTACTACTACTACTGCTACTACTACTACTACTACTACACACATACCATTGTTTCTAGCAGCCACCACTACTTACTGACTGAGAAGATCCTGTACTAGGAATCATGTCCATGTATTTGTATAGTTCCTAATACAGTACTAAGTAAACACAGATCGTTTGTATTCGTTCCACATTATACTAGTCAGGGTATTGGTGCATCCCTAACTACTACTACTACTACTACTACGACTACTACTGCTACTAGTGCTACACCCATACCATTGTACCAGGTGTTTATAGCCACCAGTACTTGTTACTGAGAAAAGCCTGTACTAAGAATATCTGTCTGTGTACCGGTATAGTTCCTAATAAAGTACTAAACACAGATAATTTGTATTAGTTCCATGTTATTTAGTTTTTATGAGGAAGTGACCGATGTTTGAGCCACGACGTCGAGGTGGAAAGAGTGACCCACACAACCATAACAATAAATCAATTGTTTTCTCTGGACATTTTGAAGTCAACAACTCCGACCCCATTTCACTCCTCTCTCTCTCTCTCTCTCCAGCCCCTCACCACTTATCCATTATCTATAATCGATCATCACTTCTTTGGACATTCAAAAACAAAACTATGTTACATTATTCATTTGTTATATGTACTGATGGATATACAGTTTGACTGATATTTTGGACTGATATTTGCACTTTCTATCTCCAATGTTGAGCTTTTTCTGCGTAGCCACAGCTACCCTGGAGCAGACTGAGGAAACACCTAAACAGAAATGTTCAACAGGGAAATGTTGTTGTGCCTTTTGAATTTAAACAAACCCCAAGTTAAATTACATGTCTGACCAATCTGAGTAAATGTCTGTCTTGAACTTCCTCAGTGTACAGAGTTTGCCAACATGAAATGCTGCAGTCATTTTAGTTGATAGTAGTTTTAAATGTGTGTGTGTTGTGTTTCAGGTGCGTCACCGAGCGTCAGATCAGATCATGGCTTTGAAAATGAACAAACTGAGCAGTAACAGAGCCAACATGCTCCGAGAGGTCCAACTGATGAACCGCCTCTCCCACCCCTGCATCCTCAGGTCAGTGTGAAGCATTTACCCCTGTATTCCCTGGTCAGTGTGAAGCATTTATCCCTGTATTCCCAGGTCAGTGTGAAGCATTTACCCTTGTATTTTTAGGTCAGTGTGAAGCATTTACTCCTGTATCCTCAGATCAGTGTGAAGCATTTACCCCTGTATCCTCAGATCAGTGTGAAGCATTTACCCCTGTATCCTCAGATCAGTGTGAAACATTTACCCCTGTATCCTCAGGTCAGTGTGAAGTTTTTACCCCTCTATTCTCAGGTCAGTGTGAAGCATTTATCCCTGTATCTTCAGGTTAGTAGTGGAGGTGATTTTAAAGGTCCTATATTAGCAAAAAAGACCTGGAGTTGTCTTTTGTTATTATTAGTCTGTCTACATCTCCAAAGCTCAAAATGCTCCGTTCCACCTTATGATGTCATGTAGTGCTAGTTTTAAAATGTACTGCTACCTTTTACCTTTAGTTTGGTAGAGATTGGAAATTCTAGGGCTGAAATCATCCAAATTATTCTACAGTGAAGGTGCATGGAGATGAAAAACACAGTGGAGCACCCATCCTATCCATTTTAGAACTATTTGTAGAGGTTTAAACTACAGGGTTTGCAGGTTTTTATAGAGCATAAGGCTGAGTGTTTAGCTGTTCACAGAGGAGAATTTTGTTATTTAAATGATTGTCTTTAGCATTCAAATTGTAATTTGGATTCAGTTGTTTAATTAGTCCTGCAGCCCCACCATATATTCTGTTCCTCTGTTTCTATTTTGTCCTTGTCACCCTTTTCCTCCGTCCTGGTTAAATCTGTGTCAAACGTGAAGCTTTTTCACAATAGATTTTCTCCTCCAGTGAATTCAGTTAGACATTATATTTCCTGCAGCCCCAGGCCTCAGCTTTGAGTGACACTGTGCCACTGTTAGAGTTAAAGTGATAGTATGGAACTTTCTGAAGGTGGAACTGTATGATTCCAAGGAAATAAATGGTAAATGGCCAAAGTGCTTTACATCAAAGAACCACTCAGGTGGAGGTGGGTTAAGTGACTTGCCTAAGGACATGACAGCAATATTAAATGGAATTGAATCAGCAACCTGTGGATTAGTGGATCTGACTGCTCCAGTGATGTTAATGTCAAAAGTGGAATTCGAACTGCCAACCTTTAGGCCTATTCATATTTCATAAGAACATAAGAACTTTGTTCTTGCACCCAGTCCTGGCCAAACAAAGTGGAGTCATTTTTTTAGCCAGCCCTGGTTCGGTAGGTCTTGCGGCTTGCTCTCGACACCACGGCTGAGCAGAACATTGTTCAGCAGTACAGCAGCACTGTCCAACATCTTTGCTATGATTGGTTATTTATGTGGGCCTGGTTTATCTGCTTCTTTGCCAGTGTGGACTATATGACTATAAAAGAAATTCATGGAGGGAGATAGTGGACATTTTAGGCTCGGATGAAAATCACTCTATAAAAGTCTGGTGTAATCTACGTGACAATTTTGCGAAAGCCAAAAGGCAGGTCCCCAAAAAAGAAGAATTGCCCTTGCTATATACCTCCCTGCAGTGGCTGGACTCCTTCATCAAACACAGGGAAAAGTCCACCAATATGACTATTATTCCAAGTCAAATGGAGGTGAGCTATTAATAGTTAGCTTAGGAGTGAAGGGGCGGGGGCTGTTCGACAGCAGAACATCTTTTGAAGTATGAAATGTCAGAGCCCAAACGAACTTTGTTCTTGTTCTTATCACCTCAAGAACAAAGTTCTTATGTTCTTATGAAGTATGAATAGGCCTTTAGGATCACTGGACAAACGCACTGCCAAGTGAGCTACTCTTGCCCTAACAGAAACTTAAAACCCTATTATTTCAGAACATTCTCTATTAGGGGTGTGCAAAAATATTGAAATATCTATATATCATATCGTTTAATGTGATGATACAGTATTGTGGGCTGCTGTATCAGTATATTACCAAGAGTATTTTTGGCATATTATACTAAATTATTGTGTTATTTATTGCTCTACAGTTTTGTTGTTTGTTCAGAGAAAGGAAAATCATTTGACATTTTGAACACATTTGACATTTTCATTGTTTTGATAAAGTGCTTTTCACAGACATATATGTCACAAAGACAGTTTACAGTTCATTATTCATTCACTGGTAAGCTACTATTGCAGCCACAGCTGCCCTGGGGCAGACTGACTGAAGCACTGCTGCCAATCTGCTCTAGCGCCCCACTATGGCACCTGATTTTCTCAGTGGTCTTCCATCCAAGTACTAACCAGGCCCAGCCCTGCTGAGGTTCTTAGATCTGACGGGATCAGGCTTTGACAAGCCGGTATAGTCACAAAATGGGTGTGTTTCATATTAACTTTGCACAACAATTGCTTTTACAAAGACTTTTTGTATCACAACTATGATTTAGACGTTATTTTTTATTGAACCGTATCAAATCAAGCTGAAATATAAGCTCATTGTATCAAGATATGTGATCTCTGTGGAAGATTATAGCCAAAGGATCGATATTTCCATGGAAACAAGCAGGTACAGCCCCTATTCCAGGCCAAATAACAATAAGGTTTATGGAGATGCAAGCCCGCTCACAGTAAGGAAGCGTGTTTTTTGGTGCTTTCTTTGTAGAGTAAAAGTTACATACTGTGGCTTTAAAGACAGAAGTTGCGATTTGTTTGTTAGGCATAGTCCTGAAACACGGGAGCAGCGGTCACAACTCAACTCAACTCAAAGCAAGAAGGTCTTTCTGTGTGGCGTTTGCATTTTCTCCTGTTTCTTGGTGGGTTTCATCTGGGCACATCCTTCTTCAGACACAGAGAGAACATGCAAACGGCAAACTCCACACAGAAAGACCCATCTGGAACCTTCTTGCTGTGAGGAGAGCGTGCTAACCATCATCATGTTAAGTAAATACACAGTTTTTCAGGTCATGTGAGGAGACCGCTCATATTGAGATCACACTAAGATTCCTGCATCTTTTTTTGTCCCCACTTCTCTGCACTCGTCCTTCACAATCCCTCTTTTGTTTAGCCTCTGTGTTTCTTTGCTAACGAGCTAGCATCACATAGGAGAGCATTGTTCTGCTAACATCCAAACGCGACCCACCATTTTGACCTTTGCCTCCAATCGCACAAAGCTCCAGTTTAAGAGCTGGTCTTGACTCAGCATGCCCCTCATTTGGTTAGACTAATATTGGCGATTTTGGCTCAAACAGGTCCAAACGTAACATAACATAACATAACATATAACATAATATAACATAAAACATAACATAATATAAAATGTAACATAACATAAAACGTAACATAATATAAAACGTAACATAACAAAAAACATAACAGAATTACAATCAGAGGAGGTAGAGTAGCCAAAGCAAGTACATGAGTAAGTGTTCCGTTACTTCAAAATAATATTGCTCAAGTAGAAGTACAAAGTCGTGGTCCAAGACGAGTAAAAAAGTACTACTCAAGTAAGAGTAACTTAAAGGTGCACAGTGTAAACTTTTGGTTCAGGGTCACCTGTTTGTTTGTATGGGTACGTCATTGCTCTGCCTGGAATGTTCCACAGTATGGCATTAAACAGCTCTACCTTACATTTATTCAATTACAGATGGTTTTATAGCTCAAAAACACCTAGAAAAACAGGCATTCTGGCTGTGAGCGGGGTCACATCTCCATAGATCTGACCTGTAACTTGGTCTGGTTTGGTCTCCATGAAGATAGAACGGTTTAATATACTTGTAAAACATTCCAGACAAAGCAATAATTTCCATGGAGAAAAGCATTTGCATACACAATGCAGCTTTAAAGAGTAACTTAACATTTGCTTTATAATAAAACTTAACATTTACTTTATAATAAAACTTTAAACCAGTCAAATTGATTCTTCCTTCACATTTTTAACCAAATAAATGTTCAAATATGGAGACTGAAGGCTTTGAAATAGTGAATATTTACAAATAAAGTGTATTATTAATGAAAATTGTAATCATTCATTAATATTTTGATTTCATAATGTCACAGACTTTGTAATAAAAGATGGTTTTGTTAATCTATATAGTCCAGATAACAATGGTCAAAATACAAATTGTGTATTTTTTCTTTTTTTATATTCTTTTATTTATTTATTTTACTTTCAAGCTCAGTTTCGATGCAAAGGAATAGAGTTGATACTTAATACTGATTCTGATACCATGATGCTAATAAAAAAACACTCTTTATTTAGAACCATTAAATCATAGTACTTTCTTTTCTATTCCCATATGGTCTTATAAGTGTGTAATGCCTCAGTGGGCCAGATAGTGGTCCATACTAATCTATGTGGGTCAGATTCAACTTTTTTTTCTTATATTGTGCATCTCCAGTTTAGGTACTATTTCACATCCATTTCTTTTGTACAATATATATTTAAAACAATAAAACGGACTGATTTGAACATGCTAAAACCAGATGTTGTGTTCAAACTGGGATGGAGATAGGAATGTGAGTAAAGAGAGGACTTTTATGGCTGTAGTTAGCTGCAGGAGCCTGTCAGATCATGCCCAGGGATTCCTCACTAACACTGAACTCCCACCAAAGAAATGATGCTCAGGTATTTTTAAAAGAGGGACTTTGAGACGCCTGGAAAACTTAATCCTGGGGTGACAGGAGAGAGGAGCAGGCAGGTGCAGACTGGAGCAGGCATGAGGGATGAGGAGCAAACAGGGGAACACGGGAGCAGAGTGGAGCAGGAGGGGACAGATAGGAGCAGAGTGGAGCAGGCAGGAGTGATGAGGAGCAGAGAGGAGCGAATACAAGCAGGTAGGGGTAGACAAGAGCAGGGTGGAACAGGAAGGAGCAATAAGAAGCAAAGAGGAGCAGACAGAAGCAGACAGGAACAGGCGGGAGTAGACAGAAGCATACAGGAGCGATGAGGAGCAGACAGGAACAGGCAGGAGAAGACAGAAGCATACAGGAGTGATGAGGAGTAGACAGGAACAGCCAGGAGCGATGAGGAGCAGACAGGAACAGGCGTCAGCGATGAGGAGCAGACAGAACCATACAGGAGTGATGAGGAGCAGACAGGAACAGGCAGGAGCAGACAGAAGCATACAGGAGCGATGAGGAGCAGACAGGAGCAGCCAGGAGCAATGAGGTGCAGAAAAGAACAGCCAGGAGTGATGAGGAGCAGGCAGAAGCAGAGAGGAACAATGAGGAGCAGACAGCAGCAGGCAGGCGCAGACAGGAGCAAAGAGAAGCAGGTAGGAGCAATAAGAATTCAAGAGGAGCAGACTGGAGCAGAAAGGAGCAGGCAGGAGTGATGAGGAGCAGACTCGAGCAGACAGGAGGAAAGAGGAGCTGGCAGGAGCAATGTGGAGCTGACAGGAGCAAGGAGGAGCAGACTGGAGCAGAAAGGAACAGGCAGGAGCAAAGAGGAGCAGACAGGAGTAGACAGGCAGTATTTGTTTATGAATGACTGTTAATGAGGCAAATGAAAACACTGGTTAGAACAGTAAACATAGGAAATAACATGAAATACTCCTTAATTTTACTCAGTTTAGCTCTGCCCTGCAGAAGTAGTAACAGAAGTAGTAGTCACGGTAGCAGTAGTCATTGAAGATTTAGCTTTTTGTAAATAAGATAAATTCAAATAAATTAATCTGTAGTTATTATGGACTAAGCGTTTATGTTGTAAATTTAACTAAAGATAAGTAGGAACTAATGGTGCTAAAACATACAACATCCAGTGGGATTTTTGAATTTGTTTATCAGTTCTCCTCTCAAATATCAACTGTCTCATATAAATCCTTATAAACTAAATGGAATGATTAGTCGACTAATGCAAATTTTTCAACTGATTAATCTACTAAATGACTAAAGTCCTGTAGTCATAGTGATAAATATGTGCTTTTAAATATGTATTGTGTAACTTTTTTGGTGGAAAGTACGTCAAATGGTTTTGTGGATCTGGGATGCTTCACAGTATTGTATTACACCTTTTTATCTTCATGGAGATCAAACCAGACCAGGTTACAGGTCAGATCTGTGGAGAGATGACCCTGCTCACAGTCAGAATGCCTGTTTTTCTAGGTATTTTTGAGCTATAGATCCACCAGTATTTTTATAAATGTAAGGTAGAGTTGTTTAATATCATACTGTGGAATATTCCAGGCAGAGCAATGACATTTCCATAGAAACAACCCTCAACCAAAAAGTTACACAAATGCACCTTGAAGAGAAATCTGAGTCAGAGTTTGTATTCTGACATGTTTTTCTCTGTTTTCAGGTTCATGGGCGTGTGCGTTCATGAGGGGCAGCTGCACGCCCTGACAGAGGTAAGAAAACTCAAAAACCCTCTTCACGCAAGAGTCATACGTGCAAAACTCAACTGAGCTCTACACATTTAACAAGCTGGAACGCAATCACACAGATAGCTATCAGGAAAAGCGAGAATCTGATTGATCAGTGTGTCACAACAGCGGGACGAGCTGGAAAATCAAAGAGAGAGAAAAGCACAGACATCTTCCTTGCCCACAAATGCACAAAGCTCTTCTCTTCTGCACATTTTCAAAAATAAAATACTCCATGTTGACATCACAACATTCTATAGGCTAATCATATTTAATACAGCTGGAGGTGCAGGTAAAATTAATATTCTTTAAATGCAGATATTTGTTGTAATACAGTGAGTTCTTCAGTCGAATCACGCATAGAAATTTGTATTTACCTTTTGGATATGTCGTGGCAAAGTACAATGTTATAATTATAAAAATCTGTCTCTTGCCACCATCTCGTTGTATGACATTATCATATTCTAGAATCTGAAAACCACCAACTGACGCTAAAATAGTCTAGTAGTGCATCTGTTGGGGTCACCGTGTTTGTTTTGGACCAAATGTAAAGTCAGAAATATTATGAGAATCCATCCTACTGCTCAAGGTTAGGTATCCAAGGCAAATTCTGAAATAAGGTGAATAAAGCGTTTTATTGTCTGAGAATCAGGAAGTCTGAGTGAGCATACTAGCTGTTGTTAGCTTTTCATCCCTGGCTTCTGAAAGTTGTGAAAATCTCTTATAAACTCATCATGGTGGATAATTAGGATGCTCTGAATGCATAAGGTAAGTGAGGGAGAACTTTGGACTACTGCAAACTGTTTACAATTAATTAGTTCTCTTTCTCACATTGTTAAAGGGAGAGTTCAGAATTTTGGACATAGGACCTCATTTCCTAGTGAGCCAGAGTGTTGGAGACGTGTGGAGACACTTTTTTAAATATTCCGTCCATCTTTGTATTTGCAGAGGTCACTGGTGCTAGGCTAGTGCATGTCAATGGTCATAGATATCCTGCCACTAAAAACTTACCCACTCCACAAAACACCCAAAGCAAATCTATTATTACACCAGACTGTCAATGTGAATGTTTGTGTTGACAGAATAATGTTTGAAATAAAACTAACCTTGCATTGCATGAATCGTCGCATGTTGAGGGACTATTTTCTCATATATCAGTCAAGCTTTATCAGGAAGTACAACTTGCTACTGCTGTTCAGACATAAATTCTTTAAATGCAAGGTTGGTTTTACTTCTAAAATTATTCTATCAACACAGACATTTACATCAACAGCGCGGTGTTATAATTGTTTTGCCTCGGGTGCTTTGCGGAGTGGGTAAGACTGTTTTTAGTGGCAGGCTAATTATGGCCATTAACATGTACTGGCCTAACACTAGCGACCTCTGCAAATCAAGGACTGGATGGAATATTTAAAAAATTATCTCCACACGTCTCCAATACTCTGGCAAACTAGGAAATGAGTCCCTATGTCCACAATTCCGAACTGTCCCTTTAAGACAGTAAAAGTCAGGTACAGCTCCTTTATCTAGATAATGATAAGTGAAAAAAGAAATATGAAAATTGATGCGTCACACATTAGAAAATACCCAAATGCATGCAAATAAATGGTTAGTGTCCGTTGATGTCAGTCATGGGTTTATTACAGGACTTCCCCAGTCTCACCAGCAGTTGCTTGGACTGTTTTGGTGAAAGTAAATAGACTTTTTAAAATTGAAAATCAGATACTGTCTGATACTAAAAGTAGTATCAAATCTAAATACATTTTGAGTAGCTTTCGATACTAACAAAAAGTCCCATTCACAGGACAGAAATGAACCTTTCCTGAAGCTTTTGAATGATCTGGAGCTGTATCAGAGCAAGTATAAGAGCACTTAGACTAGTATACGCCCATGGACCACTATGGAACCTACCTGGACAACAATATGGTCTTATACACAGATTTAAGACCACATAGGAATAGAAAAGAAAGTACTTCGATTTTAATGTTGAAAATCACATTCTGTTGCCTAGAGAGTGTTTTTATTATCATCGTGGTAACAGAATCAGTATTGAATATCAAGTCTATTCGTTTGAAATTTCCATATCGTGACAACCCCACTCCCGTAGTAAGTGATGTTGACAGTTCCAAAGACATGCGTTTTAAGAGTGGGGCTTAAAGGGGCGGCTGCTTTTAGAAACATGTTCGTGTAACTGTGGGAGGTCTGCGGTAAACAGAGCTCCTGTGTCATGTTTGGTACCTGATCCCAATAACACACCCAGTCCACGGGAAAAAAAGGAAATGCATGTTATGGGTGGTTTTCAGATTGTAGCATGTGATGATGTCATACTCACAGACGAGGGGCAGGAGAGTTTTCCCTATATATCATAATTTCTAGGTATATATGCAATAAATCTGATGAAAAAAAAATAAAAATAGTTGGGCCCATCTTCAGATCTGTGCCAGAATCCTGGTCAGGAACACTGAATATTTTTCAGAGTGTAGGTACTTCTCTGTGTGATCTTCGTTTTTAATTGGTCTTAATTTTAACTTGGTGTGGATTTGAACTGGAATCTAAATTAATTCATAACATTTAGCAAATATTATTAGGGTTGTTTTTGGTTTTTTTGTAGTTTTTTGTGTTTTTTTTTTTTTTTTGTTTTGTTTTTTGATAGGAAAAGTTTTGCTTTGCGTGATATCTACACCAGAACATTGTGGTCTAAAATGACTTCCAAATGTTTCTCTTTGTAACCAAATCTGATTAAATTAAGAATTTGGAAAAAAAAGGCAGATTTCCCTATTGATTACAAAGTACTTTGCCATGAAATATCCAAAAGGTAAATTCATAAATGTTGAACCAGATCATTTCTATCAGTTACGGACCCATGAACTCTCTGTATTACACATAAGTTGTATATATAAATGGACATAATGCTCTAAAGAGGATCTTTTGAGCTCTGGTTCCAGTTGGCATTCTATTGAAAAAACACCTCCCCTCTCTCTGGAACTGCTGCTGTCAGGCTCATCATTCTGATCTTAAAATGTCCATATTAACTCATTCACCCATGATGCTAGTGTTTTTATTTCCCTATTTTGTCCAGTCAAAAAAAAAAAAAAAATCCTACTCCTAATTTGATTATAATATGGATCAAATTCGGTCATTTGAATGGAGCCGGACACTGTGGGTGACGTCTCGCTCCCTTAGTCCAATTCTATAAAGGCTCAAACAGCATAAAATCAGCTAACCGTGTAATTTAGATGTGTACAAACTACTGTGTTGCATGCTTGTTTGTTTGGAGAGCTTGTTTTCCACTATTTATCGTAAAAACAAGACATGTTTTAGCGGGAGTGGAGGAATGCAAAAATAATTTTTTAAAGATATGTAGATTATTTTTGTAAGTGTTATGACTGCAACATTAATCATAAACAAATCGAAATAGCATTTTAAATGGATGTAATTAGCGAATCGCAAAGACTGCAATTTTTTAAGTGCCATAATTTCCTCCACAAACCACAAAATCTCCTGTTTTATCGTGCATAAAATCAGCTAACCCTGTAGTTTATATCTGTACAGACACGTTCTGAAATGTGATTCTTGTATTCGTTTGCCAGTTCATGTTTCTTCTTTTTGTAAATTCTTTTAGCTGCATGGAAATGTGAACTTTGAACAGAATCCCATTATTAAAACATACTGTAAATCACAAATGTAAACAAAGTGCTTGTCAGAGAAATTGCAATTACATATTTTTCCCCAAACAGCTCAGCCCCACAGTACAGCACAGTGTCAGATCGCACGACTTTAATGAGCACTGTAGTTTTATAAGTTAGAGACTGGTTATATTGATAAAATTTAAAGGTGCATTGAGTAACTTCTAAGGTGGAGGGTCTGCTACTTGCTGGTCTCCATGGAGATGTTATTTCTTTGCCTTGAATGTTCCACAGTAGCGCATTAAACATATTTCCCTCGTGTTTGTTTAATTCCAGGTGTTTTATAGCTCAAAAATACACAAAAAACATGAATTCTTACCATGTGCAGGCTTGCTTCTCCTTAGATCTGACCATTAACCTGTCTCCATTGTGATGACCAAGTTTATTTCCATACTCAGAAATAATCAAAACAGTAATATCTCTATGGATACAAGCAGTGACATCGGATGTCTAATGGTGTCTAATTGGCCTTATTAATTTGCAAATAATATCTTATTGCGGCGTATCTTTTAATATTAGGATTCCTTTCAAAGTTCACATTGTAAAGGGACAGTCCGGAATTTTGGACATAGGACCTCATTTCCTAGTTAGACAGAGTGTTGGAAATGTGTGGAGACACTTTTTTAAATCTTCCATCCAGTCCTTGTATTTGCAGAGGTCGCTGGTGGTAGGCTAGTGCATGTCAATGGCCATAGTTAGCTTGCTACTAAAAACTTACCCACTCAACAAAGCACCCAAAGGAAATCTATTATTACGCCAGACGGTCAATGTAAATGTTTGTGTTGATAGAATAATGTTTGAAATAAAACTAACTTGCATCGCATGAATTGTCAAATGTTGAAGGACTATTTTCTCAGCAGCAGTGGAATTTTACTTTGCCGGTAAGACTGGTGCTAGGTGATATCAGTCCACCGCTGCCAAACTTTCTATCAGGAAGTACAACTTGCTGGTGCTGCTCAAAAATAAATCCTTCAAATGCAAGGTTGGTTTTACTTCTAAAATTATTCTATCAACACAGACATTGGCATCGACACTCTGGCATTATAATTGTTTTGCTTCAGGTGTTTTGTGGAGTGGGTAAGGTTTTTAGTGGAAGGTTAACTATGGCCATTGACATGCACTAGCCTAGCACCAGCGACCTCTGCAAATACAAGGACTGGATGGAATATTTTAAAAAGCATCTCCACACATCTCCAACACTCTGGTTAATTAGGAAATGAGGTCCTATGTCCAAAATTCCAGACTGTCCCTTTAAGTTTGACCAGAAAAATTGACATAAAGACTGAAATATGAACTTTTTATGCAGTGCAATAAAACAGGAGATTTTATTGTTTGTGGAGGAAATTATGGTACTTTAAAAATTCCGATCTTTACAACTGGCTAATTCTATTCTAGCCTATTCAGATTGCTATTTTGGTTTGTTTGTGATGAAAGTTGCAATCATCAACCCTTATAAAAATAATCTACATGTCTTTAAAAAGTTATCATTTTTGTTTTGCTTCACACCATCATGTTTTGAGAATAAATACTGGAAAACAAGCTTTCCAAGCAAACAAGCATGCAAAACAGTAGCATGGAAAATGATGTTTCCGGGAATTAGCCAGATCCCAGTACACCTCGTAGGAAACTCAAGAGCACTGATAATGTGGGCTGAGGGTAAGTTCTGACCTGGGCCTGCATTGGAGTAGTTTACATTGATAAACAAGACTTCTTTGTTTGAGAGTTTAACCCAGAACCTCCTCACCAAATCTACTGGGCATCTGGTTCTTATTTTCTTATTTCCTTTGGCGCTTTGCATTATCAGTGATCACTACAAGACCCACGTGTGCTGTGTCTACGAACAACTCCAGCCACGAGAGTAAAGGAGTTCAGTTAGAGGAAGAAATTTGGAGCTCTTCTAATGAATAAATAATTTTGGGGTGTCTTTCCACTTAAAATTTTACAAACATAAACTTTGAATTAATGGCAGACAATTTGATCCACTCAAAAGTTCAGAGCATCAAAAACAAAAACTTTTTAATGCATTTTTTTTGTGTGACAAATACAGCACTTTCAAAACAATAAAAGGTAACATGGTGATCTCTCTTTTCTACAGTATGACATTAAACAGTTCTAGTTTACATTTATTCAATTACAGGTGGTTTTAGAGCTCAAAAATACCTTAAAAAACAGGCATTCTGACTGTGAGCGGGGTCACCTCTCCACAGATCTGGCCTGTAACTTGTCTGGTTTGGTCTCTGTGATGACAGATGCGTATCTGTCTTTGTGTGGGGTTGGTCTGTGGGATGGGTTGGAAGAAAATCTGAAGCAGAGCCCAAATATTCACAGCTTCAAAAGAAATAAAAGATTTTTTGCTTTCGTGGTATAAGAGTGAGTGACAGCACTGGGTGATACAGTACAATGCAAAAAAAAAGTGTTTGGGTTAAATTTTATTTATTATGCATAGTATGCTATTTATTTAGCTATATGTAAATATCTGTAAAGTTCTGTGATCAATTTACATAAGTAACCACATAATTTTTGAAACTATGTCATGAACAGTGGTGGATTAATATTAATATTTTTCTCCTTCGCACTTCCAAGAAATGTGCTTTTCTGTTGTTTATAATGTAGTATGTTTATGATTATTGTTTCTCTCTTGGCACAAACTCAAAATAAAAAACTAATAAATCAATCCAAAAAAAAGGTTTAATACCACACTACGAAACATTCCAGACAAAGCAATAACATCTCCATGGAGAAAAGCATTTGACGGAGCCTCCACCAGAAAGGTTACACAACGTACCTTTAAAAATTTGTTAAATTAGGGCTTTACAGTGTCCCCTAATAGCCCATTACCTCACACAGCAGATGTTTGAGTGCGTTCAGTGGAATTTCTTGGCCAAATAGAGCGATGAGGTGAGAGCTGTGTTAGTATTTAAATCATGATGTTAGGGCTACAGGGAACGTCGTCACTCAGTGCATTTGTATAAACACATGCTGGGGATAAGACTCAGGGCGTATGGAGAAGTACTGATGACACGAAGCGTTTTATTATTATGGCTAAGATATTATTAGTTTTAAAGGTGAACTATGTAACTTTTCTGGTTGGGAATCTACCACTTGTTTGTAATATTCTAATTGGTCCATATTACGCTATTTTCTGATCTATGTTCTATATTCCTATATACCTATCTATATACCTATCTCCATGGAGACCAGCAGGAGATGCCACCAGGCCAGGTTACACCAAGTCACATCTGTGGAGAGGCTTTTTCGCCCAGTTTTTCAAGATACTTTTGGGCAGTTTGAACACCAGTACTGTGTATGATATTGTGACATATGCATATATCTATAGAGACAGATTGTTGCCTCTGTGTTGAGTCCTTGGCTGCAGACCTGATCAGATGGAGCTCATTTAAATCACATTGGCTCAGAGTGGAGACACAGGTGGCTCCCTCCCACTAGACACCAGGCTAATGCATTCAGTCAGCTGTTTGGAACTGTCCATGTCAGGAAGGATGCAAGCGTTCAACAATAATAAAAAACATTTGAAAAGCTGTATATCATTTTTAGGACACGCTGTAGTCCTTGGGGTAAAACTGTATCAAATGTTTAAAACTTAACAGAGAGTAAGACCAAAATGAGACCTAAGTCAGAAGCATCATCCCCTTTTTACGTTTACATTTTTTTAAAGTACATTTTTGTCAGATTGATGACTTTGTGTTGTTTTTATATATTTACTTTATGCAATATTGATTATTTCATGATCCAGTCTTACATTAACAATATATGTTATGCAGCCCTAAAATGATTGACTAGTTTGTTTGCCGTTTCAAATAACATCTCAGTATATGGACAGGCCTCAAGTGAAAGCTCAGAACCTCCAGAATTCCCTCCCTGAGCTGCAGAGGCTGCACGAGCATGGCCATACCAGCTTGTCAAAAGCCTAATCCTGTCAGAGCTCAGAGGCTCAGCAGGTTGGGCCTGGTTAGTACTTGGATGGGAGACCACTGGGAAAATCAGGTGCCACAGTGGGGCGTTGTGTCCTTAGGCAAGGCACTTCAACCACATTGCCTAGTATGAAAGTGGGGTGTGCGTGAGTGTTGGTGGTAGTCAGAGGGGGCAGATTGGCGGCCACGCTTCCATCAGTCTGCCCCAAGGCAGCTGTGGCTACAATGGTAGCTTACCACCACCAGGTATGGAGTGAATGAATAATGCACTGTAAAGCGTCTTTGTGACATATGTCTGTGAAAAGAGCTCTATAAATAAAAACTTACTTACTAGTACTGATTCATAACTGGTGCAGGTGCTGCAGGTAGTGACCATTCAGGTCAGAGAGAGGCATTTTAGGTTTAAACCAACTGGATTTCAGCATTGAAACTGGCAACCCAAATGAGAGTCATGTACTTGTAGATACTCTATTGTATTTTATTGGCACATATGCCATTTGAAAGGGACTGCAGGTGGAAACTTGGCACAAGCACAATGCCTGTTCTTGAGCACGTTTTTATGCATGATGTTTTCTGTTTGGATAATTGTCATGAGCCAAAATTATAACATAAACAATATGGCCATCATGGCCAATGTTTTTGTAATTAATAATAAATCAGCATTAGAACTGTTTAAAAATTCTATGTGGTTTGAACATGTTCCTTCCACATATCAAATTTTATTTTGATTCTAAGCAATACTCAATACCAATTCCGATAAGACGATGATCTTTCTGTAGAAAATATGATGTGAATTTCAACATTAAATCATCGTACTTTCTTTTCTATTCCCATGTGTCCTTATATGTGTGTAATTCCTCAGCGGTCCAGGTAGGTTCCATAGTGGTCCATGGGCATATACTAGTCAATGTGCTCTTAGAGGAGTGGGACACGAGATTGGATCTACGAGAACGACACAACCTACCTGCTCAAATATCTAGTTTTAGTATTGATTCGGTACTTACTTTTGACAACTCTAATTTGGGGCCACATACCCTCCTTTAACTCCCTCCTCCTTCTCTCTTTCTGTCTGTCTTTTTTGCAGTACATAAATGGTGGTAACCTGGAGCAGCTCTTAGACAGTAACAAACAGCTGAGTTGGCCAATGAGAGTGAAGCTGGCCCTGGACATCGCATCAGGACTCGCCTATCTCCATTCTAAAGGAGTCTTCCACCGAGACCTCACCTCCAAGGTTCGTTCCTCCAATTAACTCCTCACATGTGAAAGAGCAGGACCCAAATGGGACCTCTGCTCGTTACAGATCCCCAGACACCAAATTAAATAATCCTGTTAGTAACTCAAGCTTATTGTTTTGCATTCAACCGGGAATAGTGTTTGAAACTGAAATTAAAACTGTAGCAAGAGATAAGAAATGTAGCGGAAATATGATCTGTATTCTTCAGAATTTTATATAAGTTAAGTGGCAGTTTGTGGAAAAAAAGAGAAATAAAAGTGCAAAAATACAGAATGTAGCCTCTCTGTCAGCAACATCAAACATTACATCTAAAATGCAGACAGTTTTCGCGCAAGGAAGGCATTTTTTTGACACTTTAAAACTTGAAATCTGCTGTTAGTTTTGTGTAGATATTGATTATTTTCTCATTCTAACTCACTCACATTACTTTTTTATTTTACTTTTTCATTTTTTTTAAACATAACAAAAACAAAAAATAGACAATTAAAAAAATATTTAAAAACTTCCACACCCCAAGCCTCTCTCCCCACCCAAAACACAAAGAAAACAAGAGCACTGGGAAATACCCCCTTTTTTTTTTTTTTTTACCACAAACATTTAAGAGAGCTGTGTAGTCATGTTTAGTGCAGTTATCTTTTCATAGTATTCAAATAAAGCTTTTTGCATATTCTTTAAGCAGCAGGTAAACAAAACGAAGTATTGGCCTCTGCTGGAGATTTAATACAGATAACTGATTTGCTGAAAAGTGCAAATATCAGACCAATATTTTGACTTATCTCTAGTTTAAACACTCATTTACATTCGGTTACTAGAACTAGATAAACTAAACAAAAGTAGACAACATTTCTAGTAAAACCTTAAATTAGGGGTGTCAAATTATCGCATTAATTGCGATTAATTAATTACAGTCATATTTAGCGTGTTATGTTTTTTAATCGCGTTAATCTCATTTTTAATCTCTAACTTTAGTGTTTCTGTATGCGAGTTGCTTTATTATAAAATCTGTTTTTATGTGTTGTTGGGACAACAACACACACACAAAAAAAAAACACATTTATATATATTTTTTATTTCGGTAATTCCACTCATTGCCGGAAACCCACACAAAATGGGCGCAGTAAGAGCGATGTAAACATGTTAACGTTGGCGGCGTCAGTCGCACAATGGACGAGGTCGAAGAGCCAGTAGAACAGAGTCAGCAGTGCACAGGTAAAAACACATTCGTATCTTGGAAATGATTCTCCCGACGTGAAATATAAAAGAAAATAACAAATATAAAATCGCCTACAACTTAAATGTCACTGAGAACAACCTGCCTAGGCTCATGATGTCTGCACTACTGTCCTATAGTGACCTGCCACATGAGGGGACACGCACACAAACACACACAAACACAAACACACAAACACACACACACACAAACACCTTCATCATCGTCATTAACCTGAGAACGCGAGGACCACATTTCCTTCTGTAGTTACTGCGCGGACACCGCTGTCCTCCCGTGCGCCGCGTATGTTTTCTCGCGTACGCTGCGTAAACCGCGCTTCCTCCTGTGCGCCTCTAAACCAGAACTAACACCAAGACTAAAACCAGGACTAATCCAGTCCAGGACTAAACCAGGACTAAACCAGGACTAAACCAGAACTAAAACCAGAACTAAAACCAGAACTAAAACCAGGTCTAAACCAGGTCTAAACCAGGACTAAACCAGGACTAAACCAGGACTAAACCAGGACTAAACCAGAACTAAAACCAGAACTAAAACCAGGTCTAAACCAGGTCTAAACCAGGACTAACATCAGGACTAACACCAGGACTAACACCAGGACTAACACCAGGACTAACACCAGGACTAACACCAGGACTAACACCAGGACTAACCCATTCCAGGGCTAAACTAGGACTAAAGTATTACTAAAGCAGGTCTAAACCAGGTCTAAAACCAGTGATCTCATATATAAAGCATTTCTCTATCAATAATATTTTTAATATGGTTAAGGAAAGACTGGACTTTTTATTGTCTTTAAGTCGACAAAAGTTATTATGGTCAGATTTCCTCATCTTTGCTACTTTACAGCAAACAGTTTCTTATTCATGGAGACTTGGGCTCAACAGCCAATTTGAAGAGAACAAACAAGAACAACATTTGCAGGATGCGGTTGCTACATTCATGTAGTTTTAAAAAGCATGACAATATCAAGTAATCCAAAGTATTCAAATTACGTTACTCACTTTAAATAATTAAATGGATTAAGTTACAAACTACATTTTGGCGTATGTAATCTGTAATCTGTAGGAGAATTCATTTTAAAAGTAACCTTCCCAACACTGCAGATTAGTAATTGTAATAATAATGATGATACTGTGGAATGTAAGTGACTCCATCTGTTAAAGTTTGTTAAACAATAAATTACTTTATAAAGTCACTTTTTTTTTGTTCTATATCAGTCTTTTGATCTGCCACAATAATATAATAATGAATTTAAATGAAAATACCTCAAATTGAAGGCTTTTCTCAGCAATTTTTAGGTGAGATTAAAAAGAGATTAATTAGATTAATTAATTACAGATCATAATTAATTAATCTCTCAATTTTTTTAATCGCATGACAGCACTACCTTATTAATGTGTTAACTGTTCTACTATTTACTCATTGTAGTTGGCCCAGGAACTCTCATAATGTTTTACTTTTATTTACACAAAGCTGTTCTGTAGTGACTTGAGAGATAAATAACAACTCATAACACATTTGGAGTAGTTTTGTCTAATTTTATGTATGACAGGTTCTGATGATTCTCATTTTTTTACTTGATCTGGTAGAATAGAGAGACAAAATCCCACACACCGTCTTACTTGCAAGTTATGAGATTTATTAGGACGAACCTAATAAATCCTAATAAATCACACAATTTGCAAGTAAGACTGTGTGCGGGATTTTTCTCTCTGTTCTTGGGCTGCTACCTCTCCTCCAACGCACCTGTCTCAAGTAACTGATGTGCTCATTCTTTTAATTTGGTAGAATAAAAGCTGTTGTAAATATAAATGATAGTTTTACACCAATCGAGAAGCAATTTGCAAAGAAAAGTTGGAAAATATGTCAAAAATTACAGGAAGTAGAGAGTTCTATTTTTCCAAACTGATGACATCACACTGGGAGAATTCTATCTAAAAGTTTGGCACAATTTACACAAAAAAACAAAGTATTCTTACAGTTTAATCATGATTTCAACATAATAAAGATGTTTTCTTCTATTTTTATTCATCAAATCATAATTTCTGTGTACACTGGAGGAGATTTGGCCCAATGCTAGGTAACAATTAGTGTAATGTCATGATTTCCAACCAGCAATTAAAATTTTAAACCTAAAAAACTGCCAAACTGGGAAAAAAAAAGTTAAAGCGCTGTTTTCAGTCTCTGCTCTGGTATTGGTTGATATACAGTAAGTATCAGAACTGAAAAAGCTGTGTTGGTGCGTTTCTTCCTGTAACTGGTCGTGCCACCTTCTTGTCTCCATGACAATTTTAATAATAATAATACATAACACTTGTCTAGCGCTTTTCAAGATGCTCAACGACGCTTAACGTGAAGAGACAAACAAAAGTAAACAAAAGAAATAAAACAGTTAATGAAAGGTGTTTTAAAGAGATGGGTTTTCAAGGCTTAATTTTTTTTGTTTAATACCATACAGTGGAATATTTCAGGCAAACCAGTCACATGTGCACTTTTAAACATCTTTATTTTATATCACATTTCCGTCTTGTATTTCTTTTTATCGTTTACTGTCTATATGTTATGTAATTAAACCACATTATCCTATAAAGGCAAACCCACCGACACTGGGTATTTTTAGCTTCTGTGTCAGACTCAAATGTGACACGTACATTGATTTTTCTATTGACGTTTCTCTGTATGTTCTCAGACTTTTGCCTATTAATAGAACTGTGAATCAAATTTGTAGTCACCACCCACAGCTCAAACACAGAAAAGGTTAACTTTTGCTACCAGTTTAATTTGTTTACACGGATCTTATGAGCCTAGTACTGTACCATATATTCAGTACAGGATCTGTTATTTTTTCCATATCCAGTAACATAAAGCTATATTTTGCAGTTTGGTTAAAGGTGCAACTTTGGGGTGGGGTCTGTGGAATGTTACACAGTGTGGCATGAAACCTATCTATCATTAGGGCTGAGTATCATTAAGAGGTTGATGATATGATACATACCTCGATACATAGGCCACGTTACAATACATATCTTGATACAGTGAGCTTTCGATTCGATACAATATATTTAATATTGATTCAATACAGTTCGATAAAAATAATGGTTAAATCATGGCTGTGATACTAAAAGTCTTTCTTAAACCACTTCTTGTGCAAAGTGAATATGAAACACACACATTTTAATCATCAGAACAGTGAAAATGTCAAATGTGTTGCGTAAAAGAGTTTCCTTCCTCTGAACAAGCAACAAAATTGTAGCGATATATCAAAATAATTGAGTAAAATACACCACAAAATACTCTTGGCGATATATCAATACAGCAGCCCATGATATTGATACTGTGTCATCACATTAAACGATACAGTATATCAATATTTCGATATTTTTGCACACCCCTATCTATCGTGCATTTGTTCAATTACTTTTCAATTTACAATTCTTCTTGCTGTGACCAAAGTCACCACTCCACAGATCTTACCTGTAACTTGACCTTTTGGCATCAGCTTGTTTCTATGGCGTTAGAGAAGTTTAGTGTCATATTGTAGATGATTCAAGGCAAAGCAATAACATCTCCATGGAGACGAGCAGATAGTGGGCCCGCCTCCAGAAAAGTTACTATAAACTACATAATATTGGGACTGAACTAGAACTTAGCCCGGAACTAAACCTGAACCTGACCAGAACTAAACCAGGATGAGATTAGGACTAAACCAGAACACGTGTGAATGCAGTCTATGTTTAGAACCTGGAAAGGAAAGGAAGGGATTAAGTAATTATTAAAAGCATGTTTTTGTTATTTCATGGCCTGGGACACTTTGTATTTGAAATTAAAGCACTTAAAGAAGACATATTGTGCTTGTGTCTGCTATATGGGTAAAATCTGTGACACCCGTGGATCATGATTCATCTAAAATGACTTTATAAAAGAACCAAGTCCACTGATTTCTGCTTTAGAAAACTGCAGTGCCCAGTGGGAGCTGGCATTGCTGTAAATGTGTTCATAACAAGTTGGCACCTTTAATGGATAGCTGCAGATCACGCTAGCGGTGAGCATATTTTTTATATTTTGCTGAAGTGACTATGCGACTTTGATGAATCCATGGATCTATTAAAATAACTGAATAGGGTATTGCTGCTTGTAGCTGTTTTGAGTTAGCGTAGTGACTTATTGGTACTTCAGCAGTTTTTTTTCCCCCCCCATAGAGCGCAATGTAATCACAAACTGCTTGTGTTTTATTGTGTCCTACAGTTTTCAAAAAGGTTGGATTTTGTGGAAATTTTTACCTATTTTTAGATTATAAACCTTTTCTTGGCTCAAAATCCTTCAGTTGTCTTAAAAACTGTTTTTTAAATGTTAGCTCTGGCTACACTCTGCTCTCCCTGCTCAGATTGGTCAAAGTGGTCCTGTGGTACTCAAGACAGTGCTCCTCATGTACACTCGTGTGCATTCGCATGCCTCCCATGAGAAAAGAGCGCTACTGCTTATGTTCAGTAGGCAGGGAGCCACCCGAAGTACCTAGCTGTTGTGCTGTCGATTTGAGCTACCTGTTGATTTGAGCTCCCAAGGCAGAAGTGAAGTAACACGTAACATTTTAAAAGTGTATTGGTTTTATTGTATGTTTTGACCAGTTAAGCATGTAAACAACGACATGTGCATGTTGGATTTGCAGCAGAATCCCTATGTCATTGTATAGTTTGGATTTAATATTTGATTTTATTGTTTTCATTTTCATGACATTGTGTAGATTGTTTCCATGTGTAGAAAACGTAACGAAAGATGTTGTATAAATAAAATATCACTATATTGTAATAGGAAATTCACACTGTAGCCTATGATATTAATATAAAGATTTCAGTGTTTTCAGTAAGGTCTTTCTCTTATTTGATATAAGATATAGGCCTGTGGGAATGAGCTACCTCTACCCAAATTCATCTGCATGAGTGAATAATGGTGATTCTACAGTGGGAGCATTATTTGATGGCTAAATAGGCCTGTCGATATGTGCTCCCTTTAGTCGGAGCCCTAGGTGAGCATAATACGACTGTCCAAATGAACTATGCATCAAACCCGCTGTCTCTAGAAATATGTTGTAGAGGTTAGGGTTAGGGTTAGGCTTTATTGGATCTATACAACTGTAAACGGAAAAATTTAAGGTATCTTATTTTCACAGGGTAACGTGAATTGATTGACGTCACTGTCGGTTTAGGCTGCTCGGGGCTCATTTCGACGGGGCAGCCCATTTCGAAAGAACACCGGGCTAGGCTAATCTGGAGACATGTGCCGTTGAGCTCAAATCATTGACTTGCATGGGCGGCCATGTTTAAACCCTGAGGCTTGGATGAATGCTATGCGTATGACCAATAGAAAATAAAACTGGAGTGGGCGTGTACCGGTGAAAACGTGGGTAGATCAGAGCAATGACGAATACAGGAAGTATAAAGATGATGGAAACATGCATGAATCGCTCTAAATACAACGCTGAGAGGGGAAAGAAGAAGGGGGAACTAATAAAACATGGTCAAAAGCTGGACTTTGCATAACCAGCCCACTTTAAATGTATGAGATATTTTTAAATGACTTAACAAATATGTACTGATTTACATAATACTATTTAGATACTTGCTTCTTGTGTTGCATCTTTAACAGCAGTTCTATTCTTGGTGCTGGTAATGAGCAGCAGCCTTCATCTTAATTTCACTTTGACTCAGAGCCACAGCTTCAGAGAACAGCCAAGGGTCAAAGTTCACGCCTGCATTTGGTTTAGAGTTGTCATTTTTTAAGGTGCATTGGTGGAGGGTCCGCCACCTGTCTTCATGGAGATGTTATTACTTTGTTTAGAATGTTCCACAGTAGAGATTAAAACTATTTCAAAGGAGACAACTAGAGGCTACATTCTCAGATCTGTGGAGAGACGCCCTTATTCACAGAGAAAACTTTTGTATTTTTAAGCAACAGAAACAACCACAATGAATAAATACTAGATAGATGTGTTTAATGTCATACATGGAACAGGTAAGGCGACAGGAGGTCAAAAAACTGTTTGGCTCCACTTCACACCCCCATGATGCACCTGCACTCATAAGGATAATAAGGAGCCATAGACTGTTAGAAAAAATAAACATTATTTGAGTAAACTTATGATTAACATTAGCAATAATTAATTGAAAGAAAATGTAATTTTTATTTAATTTTTTTAACTTAAAGAATGACCAAAAATCAAAAACAAAACTGGGCTTAGGCTCTAACAACTACAATACAGATATTAATGCATTCTTAGCATCCTAATTATTCATCAAGATGAGTTTATAAGCCAGTGTAAGAAAATAAGTACTGCAAACAACAACTAGCATGCTAACCACACACTTCCTGATTAGTGCGTAGTTAAAAAACAGTTTATAATTAGGTACAGACAGAACAAAGCAGCCTCTGAGAATTGAATAATTAGGATGCTCTGAATGCATACGGTAAGTGAGGAAGAACTTCAGACCACTACTTTATGGTCTATGTTCTAATTTTGTAATACAGGAAGTGTTCCACTGTATTTTTATACACCATACACCTTCACTAGAATCATTTGGATAATTTCCGCCCTGGAATTTCCAATCTCTACTGAACTAAAGGTTAAAGGTAGCTGTTAACATGAAAACTGCCACTATGACATCACAAGGTGGAACAGAGCATTTGAAGCTTTGGAGATGTAGACAGACTAATAATAAAGAGTTACTCAAATATGTGTGAATGAAACAAACCACAACTTCATGTCTGTTTTTGAGTATATAACAACATTCTAACATGGTTTAAAGCTCACAAGAGTCAACTTCACATAATACAAGTACATCATATCATATCTCAGTTGTTTGATCTGGTGTGGTTTAGTATTTGGAGCGTCTTATTGTTTTAAATGTGCCTAAGGCGTGTTCATGTTTATTTTATATTTTATTGATATCATGTTGTCTTTCCTCAGAACTGCCTGATCAAATGTGAGGAGAACGGTTACTCTGCAGTAGTGGGGGACTTTGGTTTGGCCGAGAAGATCCCGACCAACACGTAAGAAATCTGTGCACGCGTCATTAAGTTTACATTCCTGTTCTATGCATCAGAGGTGCTGTCAGGGCTCCTAATGCTACCATCTAGTGTTCAATGTGGAGATTTCCTTTGGTACAGTGGCCTCGCAAATGGGGAGAAAATGTAATGTCATCAATTGTTGACACATATGCATTTGCACTTTTTTTTGGACATCTCAGCAAAACTGAAATAAACTACTACTACCAATAAGGTAATAGATAACACTGATTATTGAAGAGAGTATGGTGCTCAACAGTGATCGCCTGCTACAGCTGAGGAAGTTAATTTTCCCTTTTTCCCATAGACTTTTGAAAATAATTAAATATTAAGAGTTCAAAGACGCACAGAGGCTAAGCAGCTAAAACATTATGCATTGTGATATATCTTTAAATATATGCAATTCTAATGTATATTAAAATATGCACATGCATCACGACATGCATTTTTAAAACTTTCTCTCATCAGAAACATACCTGGAATTGTATTTAGCTTCAATTTCTGTGTTCAGGGCGGAGGCGGAGAAGCTGACTGTGGTGGGCTCTCCGTTCTGGATGGCTCCTGAAGTTCTGAGAGGAGAACGCTACAACGAGAAGGTACAAATGAGTCCTTATATTAGCCATAAAGCTGGATCAATTTCATACCCTGTCCTAAATGTACCATATATACTAAAATTTGACTTAAAATTTATGATTTTCTTAGTCAGACAGGAGTTTGTTTACCTGCTTTACATGTTTCAGGTACTTTCTGTATCCTTCCTCGGAAACATTGCGTGATTCTGTAGAGACGTGTCTTGGCTACTTTACTTGGTTTTGTCAGACGGTAGGGGAAGCTTACACCCCCTATTGTCTGACGGGTTCTTCAGGACTGCAACCTGTGTGTGATAGAGTATACGCTCCCTTGTCTCGATTCATGCTCCGTCTACCTTGGTTCAGATTTTCCTGTTCTGCTTGTTCTTTTATTGCTCTTGTTTGCAACAGAATGAATCTTTACCAAAGTTACTTGTGTTTGTTTCAGGCGGATGTGTTCTCTTACGGTATAGTCCTGTGTGAAATCATCGCGAGAGTCCAGGCTGATCCAGACTTTCTTCCACGGACGGAGGTCAGTGTCGAAATTGTGCTGAAGTTCTGTTAATTATAAAGACCTAATTTATAATCATGGTTGCCAGGCTTCAGTGACCCAAACCGCACAAGAGCATCTGAAAAACTTGACACAGGCCCGTCCCCAAAATTCAGGACTTCCAATTGGATTATCTTAACATCAATACACTTTACGTGTAAAATTGCTCTGGCCAAACCCACGGACAATATTTTTCACCCACAGCAGCTCTTAAAAATCAACCCAATTCCGCTGGAAAACCGTATACCTGGCAACACTGTTTATAACGCTAAAAGAAACCAACCGAACCCTGTAAATGTGAATGAGCAGACAGTCACCCCCAGTAAAACCAGCTGTGAACTGAACTTGTCATCAGCCTGGTTCAGTGCAGAGCTCAGATCAGAATAACAGTGTTGTAGTGCATTAGCATTAGCACAGTTAGCGTTACAGGCTGAGATTAGAATAACAGGCTCAGAGGGTTAAACTGGAGTAAGTCAGGTTTGTGTTGACGGCTGCTGTCAGTAACACATGAATCTGATGGATCTGCTCTTCCCCTGCGCTCCTCTGGGTCTGTGTGAGCGGACTGAAGGTCAACACGTCAACACGTTTTCAATTAGTCACTCTCACCTTTTTCTTGAAAATCAAACTCCTAAACAGGACCTTGAACACTCTTATCGATCACAAAATGTGTTGTTATATACATTATGTGTTTTTTTCTTGAGTTTACAGACAGTCTTAAGCCCTTTTAGCCGTGTATACTAATGTTTGCATTGTATCTCCGTGGTAATTGCAGAACATTCCACCATAGACACATGTGGAACCCCCCTAGTGCGATGTCACTGTGAAGTATCAATGTGTACTGTGTTTCTGGGGGTGTCTGAAGGGGCTCAGTTTTAGAAGTAGTTGTATTATTACTATTATTCACACTCTCATTCACACTCTAACCCTATCACCACTTTCTCTTCCTCAGAACTTTGGGCTGGACTATCACACATTTCAGCACATGGTCGGAGACTGTCCCCACGACTTCCTGCAGCTCGCCTTCAACTGCTGCAATGTGAGTCAGACCTGAGCCATCAACTATTTACAAGCAGATCTGTTCAAGTGGTTCTATAGAGCTAAGCTTTCAGTGGAATTTCAGTCGTATTAAATGGTCAAAGATCAGCTTAGGTCTTTGTAAAGGAGAGATCTACAGCCAGTCCTCTATAAAAACATATGGTTTGGAGCAGAGTTCAGACTTTGGAGGAAGACATTTGACCTGAAAATCTGTCTAGTTTAAAGAGCCCATATTGCATTATTTTCTGATCAATTTATAATGCCGTTTCCTCATCACAAACAGACCTGGAGTTGTGTTTTGTTTCATTCACATGTTTAACATACAAATCCTGCATATTTAGACTGAGTTCTTCTCTCAAACTGAAAACACTGTTCCACCTTGTGATGTCATGTGGTAATACAAGAAGTGCTCCATGGTGTTTTAAACTTTACTAGAATCATTTGGATAGTTTCAGACCTGGAATTGCCAATCTGTACTAAACAAAAGGAAAAAAAAAAAAGGTTAAGTTCAAAGCTACTGGTTCGTGACATCACAAGGTGGAACAGAGCATTTTCCGCTTTGGTTTCTCAAACATGTGTGCATGAAACGAAACACAACTCCAGGCCTGTTTCTGATGAGGTAACCATGTTATAACATGTCTTAAAGCTCACACACAACCATCTTACTTAATATAGGATGAAATAGTTCACGAAAGCCATATTTATGTGTTGTTTTAATTAAACCTATGTATCCTACACTTACTCATACACTCATATATTGTAAACTTACACCTTAAATTACAAAACCACTGTTATCAAATTGATTTGACTGAACTATTATACTGCATTGGCTCGATTACAATTTCTAAATTGTCTCAGATTTAAGAATAAAAAGAAGCTTATGGCACATGTCACTATTATCCACTTAATGCATCCCAGTCCTTAATACTAAAGCTTAAATACATCCTGCTGCGTAATCTCTTTCAAATCCTTTACTCAATCAAAATTCATTTACCCAAAGTAGCCCCATAGATCAACATTAAATCCCTTAATACTCTATCTTAAAGGTGCATTGTGTAACTTTTCTGGTGGAGGGTCCGTCAAGTGCTTTTCTCCATGGAGATGTTATTACTTCATCTGGAATGTTCCACAGTATGGCATTAAACCTTTCTATCCTCATGGAGATCAAACTGGACCAAGTTACAGGTCAGATCTGTGGAGAGGCAACCCCGCTCACAGTCAGAATGCCTGTTTTTTTTTTTTAAGGTATTTTTGAGTTGTAAAACCACCTGCAACTGAATAAATGTGGAGATGTTTAAAGTCATACTGTCGAACATTCCAGGCAGAGTAATGACATCTTCATAGAAACAAGCAGGTGACAGACCTTGAACCAAAAAGTTACATAGTGCAGCTTTAAGTGTAAAGAGAAGCTTAAGGCACATGTCACTATTATCCACTTTGTGCATCCCAATCCTTAATAGTACTAAAGCTTAAGCTCGTTCAAATCCTTTACTCAATCAAATTTCATTTTCCCAAAACAACCCCATAGATCTACATTAAACCCTTTAATACTCTATCTTTAAGAGGGGGTGTGGCGCAAAATCATTTTTTAAGCTTTCTTCCATGTTATAATGTTCTTCCCTCATCAGAAACATGCCTGAGGAGGTTTTAGATGTCATCAGTTAACAATCTCTCCTGGGCTCTATTCGAACCCTTCTCATGGTTAACTGTAAGGTTCTGTCCACTGCTCCGTCCATACTCCTACTCCATACCCATGCTCCTACAGGACAATTCTCCAGAAATATACAGACCAGTATATACTACCGGTAGCTCTCCACCTTCTTCCATGTAGCTCGCCAAGGGATTTCTGAATCATACATATTAATAACTAACTGAATAACTCAAATTAATAATTAATAAATAGGGGTGTAAATGTTTTATAAGCATCAAAGTGTACCCCATCTAAAGCTCTTATATTCACTCAGTTACTTGGAATCGCTAACATTAGTATCTCTCTGGCATTTTTGTTTTGTAAAGGAGCTCATCAGAAGAAAAAGGTTGGAGACCCCCACAATACAGCTTCACAAACCTGATGCGATATACAGTAGCTTTATTGGTGGGATGAGCACTGATAGTAATGTGATGGCGCACTGAAGGGGGAGTAACTTAGCTGTGACAGGTGTTATAGAGAGTTCATGAATCCAAAGGCAGAGGGCAATGGCTCAAATAGTTCGTATTCAGGGGGAGACGGTTCAGCAGCTAAAACTTGATGCTAAACCCTACTTTTTGACAAAGACGAGCGGATATTGAGTTTCCTCTCTCCTGTTTTCAGAGGAAGTGATTGACAGGTGGGTTAACCAATCAGAGAGATGCATGCTTTGTTCACTTCGTAAACAAACATGGCTGCTTACACTTAATAAAGGAGAAAAATCTACATCAAGGACTAAGAAACAGAGCAGATTTTTACAGAATCAACAATCAAAACACCAAACTATTACTTATTTCAGGTAAAAGAAGTTATATATTTTGTTCTGAACATTACACGAAGTTTTTAAAGATGTCTTCTGCATTTGGTTTTCACACTTGTTGGAATCATACAGAATGTATAAGTGACTGGCTGGTCAGGCAAAAAATGTACACTAATCTAATACATCCCTAATCTTTGCAAATTCTAATAAAATCTTCAAAGTCTCTGTTTAGTTCTTTGTTAATTCACTTAAATCTACTGTTGTTGTTGTTGTTGGTCTCTGTATTAATTTCTGCTTTGCGGTGTTTCAGATGGACCCAAAGTTGCGTCCGTTGTTTCCGGACATCGTGAGGACTCTGGAGGAGATCCAGGCTCGGCTGAAGCTGATGGAGATGGAGCAGGACTCTGTCGCCGACGGCAACGACAAGAAGGCACTCAATAAAGGTAAAGAGGGAAGGAGAGTGAAGGGTCAAAGACAGAGGTGGAAGGTAACTAAGTAAAAGTATTACCGTACTATACTTAAGTACTTTTTAGGCATCTGTACTTTACTTAAATACATTTTGAAGTGGTTTCTTTGAACTTTTACTTCACTGTGTTTGAGAGCAGGTATCTGTATTTTCTACTCCACTACATTTATGAACTGGACTGAAAAGTAAAAAGTACTTTTCATATGATTTAAGGGTTATTTTTTACTATGTTTTTTTAACATCCTGAATAAAGGTTTTGAGTTTAAGCTTCGGCTTTCAGCAAACAAAAATAAACACACAAAATTCATAAGAAAAATAAGAAATAGATTTGTATTGCAACTGTTAATCAAAATTCTGTATGTACCATTCTTTAATCAGTATCACTACATTTCAACAAATTAACAACACTTGAAATACTTTTTACTCTTAAAGTACATTTTTAAACAGGTACTTTAATACTTTAACTTAAGTTGATTTTTTCATGTCATACTTAAATTTTTCTTGCATAACTTTTTGCCTCTGTACCTGTACTTTTCTTAAGTATCAAAATTGAGTACTTCATCCACCACTGATCAACAAAGAAAATACAAGTGTACAGCCAATACAGTGCGGTTACAGATTATTAGAAAGACTAAGAGATTTAAAGATATAAACATTATTGAAGATGCCCTGTGTAATTTTTCTGGTAGTAGTTTTACCACTAGAAAACTAGAAAATAATAATATACACACTGGACAAGTTTAAAGATCAGTATTAGATTGTTTCCTGATCTATGTGCTAATGTTGGTTCCTCATCACAAACAGACCTGGATTTGTGTTTTGTTTCATTCACACGTTTCACACACAAACCCTGCAGATGTAGGCTGAGTTCTTCTCTCAAAACTGGAAACACTGTCATGTATGTTAAGTGGCTGTGGCTCTGTGGCCTGAATAAAGCCTAATAAGCAGCTTTAGTGTCTCTCAGCAGGTTTCGGTGCAGTCTGTTCTGGGACATGTGATACGCACAGTCCAGGAATTCATTTCTAATTTAGAGTCACTGAGTCTGACCAAGAAACTCCAGTCTGAGGGTCCGAGGGAGGCGGAGTTCATGAGGTTAAAGTTCAAAGTGTTGACAGAAGTAGAGTCCGTGGAGTCAATCTACACGAGCATTACATCATGGGTTTGTGCAGTATTCAAAAGGACAGTATTGCGTTTTGTAACAGGAAGTCTGAGGTCGTTTGGGGCTCTAGTGTCTGTTCAGTGGTCAGCACAAAGGTCAGAGGATCTATTTCTGCTCAGACCAAGCTTTTGCTTGTTGTGTCCTTAGGCAAGACACGTCATCCACCTCGCTGGCAGCCTCTCTTCCATCAGTCTGTCCCAGGACGGCTGTGACTACAATCGAATTGTGGTTATAGGACCTCATTTCCAACTTAGAGTGTTGGAGACGTGTGGAGACACTTTTTAAAATATTCTATCCAGTCCTTGTATTTGCAGAGGTCGCTGGTGCTAGGCTAGTGCATGTCAATGGTCATAGATATCCTGCCACTAAAAACTGTTTTACCCACTCCACAAAACACCCGAAGCAAATCTATTTTTACACCAGACTGTCGATGTGAATGTCTGTGTCGATAGAATAATGTTTGAAATAAAACTAACTTGCATCACATGAATTGTTGCATGTTGAGGGACTATTTTCTCAGCAGCAGCGGAATTTTACTTTGCTGGTAAGACTGGTGCTAGGTGATATCAATCCGCCACTGCCAAATTTTCTATCAGGAAGTACAACTCACTGCAGCTCAGACATAAATCCTTCAAATGCAAGGTTGGTTTTACTTCTAAAATGATTCTATTGACAGACATCTGGTGTAATAATAGATTTGCTTCAGGTGTTTGGTGGAGTGGGTGAGCCTGTTTTCAGTGTCAGGCCATGACCATTGACATGCACTAGCCTAGCACCAGTGACCTCTGCAAATACAAGGACTGCATGGAATATTTTAAAAAGTGTCTCCACATGTCTCCAACACTCTGGCTCACTAGGAAATGAGGCCCTATGTCCAAAATTCCAAACTGTCCCTTTGCTTCAGTGTTTTAAATGTTATAATATAATGCTCATCTTGCCTTTTTTAGTCTTGGTTCAGTCTTGTGTTACGTCACATTTAGTTTGAATCTCACTCAAAATGCTGTGTCTAGGAGTACATCCAGAATTCGTAATAATTTAGCTGTCATAATATCAGTTTCCCTTATGAAAGATGACTTGTTTTTCTAATATGTGCAGCTCTATCCTAAAGACTGGAGCCTGCCCGTTACGACCGCGCTGGGGTCCGCCGGTGGTTACGTAACTCTGTGAAATGAGAGAGACAGAACACAGCTAGAGGACAGATATTGACTTATGAGACTAAACAGGAAGTCAAAGGAATGAATGATCCAACACAACCTTATGTAAACCCACAGTTATTAAAGGTGCATTGCGTAACTTTTCTGGTGGAGGGTCCGTCAAATTCTTTTCTCCATGGAGATGTTTTTGCTTTATCTCGAATGTTTCATTGTGTTGTATTAAAACTTTTTTTGTTTTTCTAGATATTTTTGAGCTATAAAACCACCTGTAACTGAATACATATAAAGTAGAGCTGTTTAATGTAATACTGTCGAACATAAAAACTGAAAGACGAGGATCAATGTGGTTTTAACTGTAGAAATTTAAATTGTACATGATTTTTACCCTCTTAAAATATGAAAAACAGAAATAGTTCTTACCTTCTGCGTTCAGAACATCCTAATTATTAATCACAATGAGTTTATAAACGTTTTTCACAACTTTCAGAGACCAGATTGGAGTTGTAGTGTCACCGTAAAACTTACATTTAACAACTTGCATGTTAAATCACACACTTCCTGATTATTATTCCTGGTTTATTCTGGACAACAGTAACTCAGCCGGTAGAGTGGGTAGATCTGCTGGCCCACAGGTCGGCGGTATGATTACAGATGAATGCTGCCACTGTGTCCTTGGACAAGACACTTAAACCCCCTCGCTCCTAGTGTTTGTGTACACTGGTGTATGAGTGTGTGTGTATGTGTGTGAATGGGTGAGTTGTTCCTTGGTGTAAAGCGTTTTGAGTCTTGAAGGTGATAAATCACTGTATGAGAACGTGACCATTTTAATCAGACAATAAAAGATGCAGACAGTTCACAGGACTCATTTTCACCCCAAGAGCTGCTAAAACAATATATCTGTACTGGGGCAAGACTAATTTTGCTCATACATGAAAAATTAGAATACGGGCAATGGCTCAAATTTAAAGGCACAGTCTGGTATTTTAAAGAGAAAAGTAACTTGTTCTCTTTAAGTAAGTAAGTCTTTATTTATATAGCGCTTTCACAGACATTTTCTGTCCCCAAAGACACTTTACAGAGCATTATTCATTCAGCATTATTCATTCACTCTATACTCTGGTGATGGTAAACTACTATTGTAGCCAGAGCTGCCCTGGGGCACACTGACAGAAGCGCGGCTGCCATGCCACTCGGCGCCATCGGTCCCTCCGACCACCACCATCACTTACACACACACCACTTTCATACTAGGCAATGTGGGTGAAGTGTCTTGCCTAAGGACACAATGATTGAATTGATTGGATTTATCGGACCTTGACTGTCAACTGTTCATGGAGACCTGATGGGGGAAACCGGAGCACCCGGAGGAAACCCATCCAGACACGGGGAGAAACATGCAAACTCCACACAGAAAGGCCCGGGCGACCCGAGGACCAAACCCAGAACCTTCTTGCTGTGAGGCATGAGTGCTTGCCACTCAGCCACCGTGCCACCAATACCAGTTTGAAGAAGCAGACACGAGCAAGAGCTGCTGTATCTCTCGTTCAGTCTTAGTTTATTCCTGGTTTATTCCTTATATGTCTGTATAGGTATAGGTAGGAATTTTGTAAATTCAAGGAAAGTTTTTGAAAAGTCATGGAATTTTATTATCTCTTTCACGCAACTACAGCATTCTGTTAAGTTCTCATGAGGCTAATGATTATTTCCAAACGTCTTTGAGAGACGACAATAAATGCACTGTCAGGATTTCGAATGTTAAAAGAACTATAATACCAAACCATAAGGTGAGGGGAAAGGACTAACATTTCATTTTCAGCTCTAAAAGTCTGATCAATTCTACACCTGTAGTTACCATAAAGTCATGGAAAATTCAATTTAGGTCATGAAAAAGTGACAAGTTTTGAAATTATGTTAGTAAAAAAAGAGTGGGAACCTTGTGTATATTACAAGGAATGTAAATTGTTAATGTTTGCAGTTGTTTTAATGTTTTTCTCTTGAAATATTGTGTTTAAAGTAGTGAATACTTTCAGAAGTCCATGTGTATCACAATTTCCACCTGGTTCAGTGGATCTGCCAGAAGCTCCACTGCCCTCTAGTGGTCCTTTATACTGATTTATGTTTTTCAATTCATTATAGACTTCTAACTTTCTACATACAGAATATTTGTGATGTTTAAATGTTAGATAAAATAATTTTGATAATATTGAAACTAAAATGTTCAGTTACTTCTCAACACTGTTAGTGAGATATTGTGCTGTCATTCATTGTGTTTAACTTTTGTCCTTGTTTTGTGTGTTGTTTCAGGTGAAAAGGTGCAGGGCTTCAAGCGTCTGAATCCTCTCGGTTTCCCCGACGGAAAGATCCCGCCCAAATCACCCCGGCCCCGACGCAACATTTGGCTCAGCCGCAGCCAATCGGACGTCTTCTCATGTAAACCAGGAAGAAAGGTCAACGTGCAGGACCCGTACTACAACCCCCCGCTGAACCAGAGGAGCTCCAAGTCTCACAAAATCAACCCTTTCACGGCTCGCGAGGACCTCTGCGGAAAGATCAAGTTCTTTGATGTTCCGACTAAATCTGTGTTCTCTTTAGTGTTCGATCTCCACTCTCCTCCAGGAAGTGTGTTCTGTAAACTGCAGGCTAATGCTAACGCTAACGGCCCGGTGACAGAGGGGTCGTACTCATGGCAACAGTTACCGGGACGACAGTGTCACTCAGTGCCGGTGTCTCCACGGTTACCACGCTCCTTTCATCAATCGGCCGCCGTCGCCGCTAACAACAACTGTGGCTCTGTGACGTATGACACGAACCAGCCCCCGGCCAGCGCAGGTGAGACTCTGCTCCGTCTGATCTGTCACATAAAGCTGAGTTGTTGTGCAGTTGTAGGGAGTATTATCTGTTACATAAGGCTGAGTTGTTGTACAGTTGTAGGGAGTATTATCTGCCCCTCTATACTCTGGTGCAGTGAGTGAGCAGTGTCCATGATGGAGAGCAGTTTGTCCATTGTACTCCTGTCCCTCACTGTGATAAATGTCTCCAGCTCACAGCCGATCACATGACCAGCTTTACAGATCAGTTTGTCAACCTGCCCAAGGTCCAATGGATGGATCAGAAAAATGGCCTATTGAAAATAAGTGATTAAAGATTCAAACATGCACGAATCACTCTAAATACAACTTTTAGGAGGGGAAATGAGAAGAGGAAACAACTATAACATGGTTACAAGCTATACATTTTGCATAATAGGCCTGCTTTAATACTAAATACCCAGAAAATACATAACATGTCTTCTTTAACTCAGTAAGTGTGTATAAACAGGTGCAGTAGTTCACTCTTGTCATTTTCCTTTTGCAGCGGTGAACTCCAGATCAGACGCCGTTCCAGCAGTGAACGACCCCAGGCAGAGAGCGCCAGTGAGCGGATGGGCCAAGAAGTACGTGGTGGTGGAGATCCCCCCTTTCTGCAGGCAGAGAGGGGCAGATGGAGTAGAGGACAGTGAGGGGGAGGAGGAGGGCAGCTTTGGGGGTGATTGGTCTCCTATGAACCCCTCTGAGAGAGACAGCACAGAGGCTATGGACTGTTGCAGCCTGGAGGACACTGAGCCACAAGCTTAAACTGACTGGCTGTGGTTTAAATGGTGTCTGCTACTGGAGAAGTTTGGGGTCATTTATTACAGTTTAAAGAGAAGATGTGAGTGGAGTTTGGAGGAGCAGACAGAAGCAAAGAAACGGAAGAGTTAAATATGTCTACAGTGGATTTGTCCTTGCGTACTAGTGAGCCAAGGGTCAGTTCTGTGTAAGTTCTACAGTAGGGTTAAGGTTTAGGTTCACTTTATTGCTCCATTAGGGAAATCTGACCTCTGCATTTGACCCGTACTTCAGTGTCTCTGGGTCAGATCTCCAGATCTTGAGTCTTGGTCAGGTCTACCACAGCTGGAGGATTTGACCTGTTGCACATGTTTTTGGTAAATGGGTGGGTCAATATTTTTGGAGTATCCAGATAAGGATATTCAGACAGTTTTATGTCAATCAGAAATGTGTGAAGGCTGATGCAGACCAGAGCATGGTGTACTCAGGCATGTCAAACACACACATCAACACACACTGACCCAGGCCATAACTCTTGTTTTAAACAGGAGTTTTATCTCCAGATCACTTAAAAATGAAAGACAGAGCAGAGGAAAGGCTGTGATTTGAGGAGGTTTTTAGTGAGTCTACGAGAGTTTCCTGCACACAGAGAAGCAGGAGAGGAAAGGTTGAGCACCGGCGCTTCCTCTGCTTCTGCTGCAGCTCTGAGCCTCTAGTGCCTCTAGTGTAGAGTGTGTGTGTGTCACAGAGCAGAGAGCTGTATGTGCTCACTGCACAAGTGCTCCCAATGTGTGCACGCTCATATTCACTACGTGTGTGTGCTGACCTTTAAGCTGTTCAAGAGGACAGATTTGTTTTGTTGTTTTGAGATCAGGCCCTTCTTCAGACTTACAAGTGAATATCTCTACATTGCTCTTGTCTGCTGCTCCACACTCCACCTGTGCACACGTGTCTCCAGGATCTTTTATTAAATCTAAACAGAACAAAAGTGAGACCTGAAACATTTCAACATTAAAGGCGTTTTCACACTGATTTATTTTTCACATAAATAACAAGAACGTACCTGAGACTTAAATGAAATCCACCGGAATTCCAATGAACATTTCAGGTGAGAAGAACAAGCACAAAGAAACTTCACCGGAATCCAAATGGGAAATTATTTTTGGAAAACTGTTTATATTTAAATTGTGATGTAGATGATTCTTTCCTTTATAAAATAGATGTGTTTTGTTGATGTTTTTTGATACTCTCCTTGTGTTTATGGTGCGTATGAACAGAGCTCAACAGTCAAAGGGCACTTCCCGGTATAGCAACTTAAAGGGCCTATATTAAGTTTTTTCTGATCTAAGTTTTAAAGTTCTTTTCTCATCAAAAACACAAAACACTCACTGTTCCACCTCGTGATGTCTTGTTGTAATACTGGACGTGCATACACCTTCGCTAGAATCATTTGGATGATTTCAGGCCTGGAATTGCCCATCTCTACTGAACTGAAGGTAAAAGGAGCTGTTCACTTGAAAACTACCACTAAATGACATCACAAGGTGGGACAGAGACTACTAATAAAGGATGTTTTTGAGGAGGTAACTACATTATAACCTGATTTAAAGCTCACAAGAGTCCATTTTGTGTAATATCAGACCTCCCATTCATTCTTCCCATACATTTTTCAAAATAGTCAAGTTTAATTAATGCCGTACCATGTAACTTTTCATATAGTTTTATGGTTATCATTAGTTTACCCAAACCTTCTACATTCACACTTTTGGTCCTGGTTTGGTCCTCATCTAGTCCTGGTTTAGTCCAAGTCGAGTCTTGGTTTAATTTGAATCTAGTCCTGGTTTAGTCCAAGTCGAGTCCTGGTTTAGTCTAAATCTAGTCCAGTTTAGTCCAAGTCTAGTCCTGGTTTAACTTGAATGTAGTCCTGGTTTAGTCCAAGACCTGGCTTAGTCCAAATCTAGACCCAGTTTAGTCCAAGTCTATTCCTGGTTTAGTCCAAGTCTATTCCTGGTTTAGTCCAAGTCTAGTCCCGGTTTCATCCAAGTCAAGTCCTTTTGAGTTCCAGGTTTAGTTCAAGTTTAGTCCAAGTCTAGTCCTGGTTTAGTCTGTCTCTAGTCCTGGGTTTAGTTCAAGTCTTGTCTTGGTTTAGTCCAAATCTAGTCCTGGTTTAGTCCAGGTCTAGTCCTTGTTGAGGTCCTGGTCAGAGTGTGAATGCAGCTCCATACTCTTGTTTTTTCAGGTCTTTACCCTGAAGTGCTTTGACTGTGGATCTCTGTTAAAGATGAGTTGATTTTTTTGCTTTGAACCATGTTAAAGAATAACATGTCCTAATTTCACTCCACACATTAAGGGTTTTTCGGAGGTCGGAGAGTTTAAAGGGCACACGTGGCATTTTGGGTAGAATTTGGCAGAATGAACTCCATAAGCAAAGGATGCACAATTTTATTTAGACAAAAAAATTGCACACTCCTGTCTTTTAACATGCAAAAGGGTCTAATACTAATAACATACATATTTAAAATGTTTAAACGTATTTTACTTCTTATTAAAGGAACTGTGTAAGATTTGGAATTTAAATTCTATAAACTCGACTCAGTCAGAAAGAAGAATGAGCCTCACATGACTCCCTCATTTGGGTTGCTGGTTCAATGCTGAAATCCAGTGGGGTAAAATTGTTCAAATGTGGTATTTGCCTCATTGTTTCCACTCAGTCACTTGTGCCCTCGGAGTCTTCAGCCTCTATGTAAACAGTCACATTTTATTTTTAGTATATTTCCAGTAAATGCATTTTTCACTTCTTAATCTGTATGACACACAGTCTACTCGAGGTGCAATGAAGTCAATCAACTATAATAATGTTCATGTAAAATCATTTCAGTTTTCAATGGTTTAATCAGATATATACGGTTATTTATGTTGTTTTGGTCTAAAGGTTTTCAGTCATTAAAATTTAAATTGGCTCTTATCCAACTTTTATTTTCCCTCTTGGGCTTGATTGTGCTCATTTCTGGCTTTAAAGGGCCATTTCACAATATTTTCTGATGTCCTAATGTTGTTTCCTCATCACAAACAGACCTGGAGATGTGTTTTGTTTTGTTACATTCACACATGTTTAACACACTAAACCTGCAGATTTAAGCTGAGTTCTTCTCTCAGACTCAAACAGAAAACTCTGTTCCACCTTGTGATGTCATGTGGTAATTGCTTGGTTTCAGATGACATCACAACAACTGTAGGCCAATATTATTTAATATAAATGAGGGGACATATATTTTCATTTATTTAAAATGCAAATTTTTGTTGTAACACAGTCAGATCTTGGGTCTTGTCACTAAAAGAAATGATCAGGTTCAAGATTTGTAAATTTACCTTTTGGATATTTTGTGAAAATGGGAGTATGACATTATCACATTCTAGAATCTGAAAACCACCAATACAGGAAGTGCTCCATTGTGTTTTTAAACCCCACACACCTTCACTAGAATCATTTGAGTTATTTCAGCCTTACCAGAAGTACCAGTTTCTACTGAACTAAAGGAGCTGTTGACTTGAAAACTACCACTTCATGACATCACAAGGTGGAACAGAGCATTTTGAGCTTTGCAGATGTAGACAGACTAATAATAGAGGTACTCAAACATGTGTGAATGAAACAAAACACAACTCCAGGTCTGTTTTTGAGGAGGTAACAACATTCTAACATGATTAAAAGCTCATTTTGTGTGGTATAGGAACTTTAAAGGTGCACTGTAGAACTTTCCGACATTTGGTTAGTTTTAATATTAAAGTGGGACTAAACACCTAAACTCCTAACTGGGCAGTACCTGGAGGACTAAAGTGGAGAGTCAGGGGAGCCCCTTACAAATACTTGAGTGTAATCTGGGCAGTTCTGTGTGAGGTCAGCAAGTACTTGAAATCCCAGAGGCCAGTGAAGACAGCACACTTTTAGATTTAGGCACTTTTGAACAGAAAGCTACAGATTTACCTTTTCAAAACCCAAATTAAGATAAATATGCTCTCATTTCAGTCATTAAAACTTCTCAACCGTTTTCCAGTTTGTTTAAATGCATTAAAGGAGACATATTACACAAATACAACTTTAATGAACACTTTTCACAGCGTTGTTTTATTATCAGCCTATGCTCAGAGTTGTATTTTGATTGATTCATGTATATTTGAGTAATCCTGGGTTGTCTGTTTTCACCTACCCCCTATCCCCGCCCACTGCTCTGTACCTAAGATAATGTAGACTTTAGGGCCTTTATAGAGGGTTTAAAAATGTTATATAGTAATTTTTCAACAGTAACAAAATTTTAACAGAAAGTCAATGAACCTGTTTGTATTATCAAACCATTTTAGATCATTAGAGTTTACAAGCTGAATGAGTACTGATACTAAATAGTGTTGTCACAATACTAAAATTTCAAACTCGATGTCGATACTAAGGAATAGACTCGATACTCAGTACCAATTGTGATACCACGGTGATAATTGAAAAAAAACACACTCTTATTTAGACAATAGATTGTGAAAAATGAGTGTCTAGTTTCAATATTGGCTTTGATATAGATTACTATCTGATCTGATTTTTGATACTTAACCAGAAAAGAAAATCATAATATGTCTCCTTTAGTGTAATTTCCTTCTCTAATTGTCATTATTTCCTTAATTTGACAGTGGATGCACAGTCAGCTCTTATATATAATCTATATAAGTCTACTCTCTCTATGCAAAAACAGCTTACATATATATATATATATATATATATATATATATATATATATATATATATATATATATATATATATATATATATATATACATATATATATATTACACTGTTCAGACTAAAGGAGCTCTATATTTATGTAAAAACTGCATATGTCTTATTTTTGTACATATTTGTGGAAAATGGTGTTTGAAGTAAGTATATGACTGATGTGTGGATGATACAATAACAACTTTCTTTTAACTAAAGTCTGAGTTTTGTGTTTTCTTCAATAATCTAGACCCCATGCACTGATAGACCTGGTTTTGTCCAAGTTTAGTCTGGTTTACTCCTGGTTTGATGTAGTTTTAGTTGTAGTTTAGTTCAGGTTTAGATCTGATTAAATCCTGGTTTAGTTCTGGGTTAGACATGCCTGGTTTATTCCTGTTTTTGTTCTGTTTTAGTCCTGCTTTTGTCCAGTTTAATCCTGGTTTAAATCTGATTTGGTCCAAAAATCACAGCTGAACAACTCCATTTGTTAGCTGGGTTAGAAAGTCTCATGATAGACCTGGTTTAGTCCTGGTTTAGACCTAGTTTAGTTTTAGTTTAGACCTAGTTTAGACCTGGTTTAGTCCTGGTTTAGACCTAGTTTAGACCTGGTTTAGTCCTGGTTTAGACCTAGTTTAGACCTGGTTTAGTCCTGGTTTATCATCAAATCATCAAATCAAACTTTATTTATAAAGCACTTTTCATACAAAATGCAACACAAAGTGCTTTACAGTGATTAAAAACAGTCCCGCATTTCCAACCACCCAACCACCCACCCACCAACCCAACCCCCGCACCCCCAACCCCACATAGTCAAACAACCCAAACACACACTCACATACACACAAACATGCACACACACACACACACACACACACTCACACTCACACGCTAAAATACATAACCGGACACAATAAAATGTGAGGCTGAATACAGGCGAACCAGTTGAGACCTAGTTTAGACCTGGTTTAGTCCTGGTTTAGACCTAGTTTAGACCTGGTTTAGTCCTAGTTTAGACCTAGTTTAGACCCGGTTTAGTCCTACTTTAGTTTTAGTTTAGACCTGGTTTAGTCCTGGTTTAGACCTAGTTAAGACCTAGTTTAGTCCTGATTTACTTCTAGTTTAGACCTGGTTTAGTTCTGATTTAGTCCTAGTTAAGGCCTGGTTTAATCCTAGTTTAGACCTGGTTTAGACCTGGTTTAATCTTAGTTTAGACCTGGTTTAGTCCTGGTTTAGACCTAGTTTAGACCTGGTTTAGTCCTACTTTAGTTTTAGTTTAGACCTGGTTTAGTCCTGGTTTAGACCTAGTTTAGACCTGGTTTAGTCCTACTTTAGTTTTAGTTTAGACCTAGTTTAGACCTAGTTTAGACTGGTTTAGTCCTGGTTTAGACCTAGTTTAGACCTGGTTTAGTCCTACTTTAGTTTTAGTTTAGACCTGGTTTAGTCCTGGTTTAGACCTAGTTTAGACCTTTTTTAGTCCTACTTTAGTTTTAGTTTAGACCTGGTTTAGTCCTGGTTTAGACCTAGTTTAGACCTGGTTTAGTCCTACTTTAGTTTTAGTTTAGACCTGGTTTAGACCTAGATTAGACCTTGTTCAGGATCAGTCCACTTCAGTTCACCCAATGAGTTAAACCCTCGTTTGTCAAATTTTGATGAAACTTGGTATGTAGGTAAATCATAGTCAGAAAAGCCAAAATTTCAAATTTTGATTTGATCGTACCAACAGTTTCCGAGATGTCACTTTTTTGCGTGATCGTCGAATTTCAAATTGCATTTACTCAGCAACTACTGGTCCGATATCAAAACCGAGGTAACTCTGGAAAGGGGAAATTGTAAGAAATCTAAATTGTTGTCACTGAGGTCGGGTGTGTCCCTTATTGCCAATTTGAAGGTCAAAATATAGGTCAAAAGGTAAGTCATCTCAAAAGTACTCAAATGCAAAAATAAGATTTGCCAGATTTGGATTTCTTATGATGTCCCCTTTTCGGAGATACTTTGTTTTTTTTTATATCACACTAGTAGTTGCAGAGTAAATGCAATTTGAAATTCGGCGACCATGCAAAAAAGTGAAAAAAAGGAACTTACAATATCTTGGAAACCGTTGGTCCAATCATGCTAAAATTTGAGATTTCTTTTTTCTTGGCAAGGACTTGCCCATACACCAATTTTCTTTGCAACTTGACAAGGTGAGGGTTCAAATTGCATTTGGTTGGTTGGTTTAGGCCTAGTTTAGTCCTAGTTTAGACCTGGTTTAGTCCTGGTTTAGTCCTAGTTTAGACCTGGTTTAGTCCTGGTTTAGACCTGGTTTAGTCCTGGTTTAGACCTGGTTTAGTCCTGGTTTAGACCTGGTTTGATCCTAGTTGAGTTCTAGTTCAGACTTGGTTTAGTCCTAGTTTATGTCTAGTTTAGATCTGGTTTAGTCCTGATTTAGTCTTGGTTAAGACCTGGTTTAATCCTAGTTTAGGCCTGGTTTAGTTCTAGTTTAGACCTGGTTTAGTCCTGGTTTAGACCTAGTTAAGACCTAGTTTAATCCAGATTTAATGCTAGTTAAGACCTGGTTTAGTCCTAATTTACTTCTAGTTTAGATCTGGTTTAGTTCTGATTTAGTCCTAGTTAAGGCCTGGTTTAATCCCAGTTTAGACCTGGTTTAGACCTGGTTTAATCTTAGTTTAGACCTGGTTTAGTCCTGGTTTAGTCCTAGTTTAGACCCAGTTTAGTCCTGATTTAGTCCTAGTTAAGACCTGGTTTAGTCCTGTTTTAGACCTAGTTAAGATCTGATTTAATCCTAGTTTAGATCTGGTTTAGTCCTGGTTTAGACCTGGTTTAGTCCTGGTTTAGTCCTAGTTTAGTTCTAGTTTAGACCTGGTTTAGTCCTGGGTTAGTTCAGAGTTAGGCTGCACCTGTTAGTTCCCTCATCACCTCACACGCACTCACAGGTCGCTGTACACTGTACACTGACCTGTAATAAATTATACATCACTTATACACCTGATTAAATCTGGTCCAGACCTGGTTTAGACTTGATTTAGTGCTGATTTGGTCTGCGTTTAGTCATTGAGAAGTGCACACAGATGTACCCATTGCCCTCTGCATTTATTGTACTGTATGTATTGCTATAGAGACTGCACTTGTCAAATACAGAGAAGTGATTTCCATATCATCGTGAACAAGCCAGGAAGTCGAGAAGGGAAGTGGTCAGGTTGCGTCATCGGTGAATTCAGCTTCACTTCGCAAACTTAAGGTACGAAAAACAATTTCCACTATATTTCAACTTTTAAATCCACTTTATTGTTTGAAAATACCTCTCTGAACGCTACCAGAGTGTATAGGAGAAGGTAGACTGCTTGCACATTTACAGTGTATGGTATTTAGTTGACTTCCGTACCTTCAAAATGGACCGCATTGCCTTTGACAGTTGGTAGTTTCTCAGTACAGCCTTGTATTAAAGTTTTGGTTCAATTGTTTATCAAAATTTTGGTTGCAAATGTGTTAAAATATTTGAAATTGGCTTAGGAGTAGTTATGAAAGAGTGTTTTGAAAGTATATGAGTAGATATAATTTAAGGGTGTGGTCAAGATTTGAAAAAATATATATATGAGAATCAAGTTATAGGCAAGTTGATACTGAAATGGTCTCATTGTAATTTTAAGTTCATTTTGTGTTTTTTTGTTGTAGGTGAAAGCTTAAAATGTCCTAAAAATAAATCTGGGAGGAGCAAAAACCTGCAAGAAGTCAGCACAGAGGCGCACAGGAGGAAATGGAGGACTCGGTGAAGACAAGTTTATAAAATGTTCAAGGTTTTAGTTTTGAAATTTTGAAAAGAAGATTTGGGGAATATTTAAAAAGCAAAAATGAGACGAGTTCGAAGGAAAGGAGCGAACAAGGAGAAAGTGTTTGGCTGTGATTTGATGGAGCACCTCACGGCCACCAACCAAGAGAGTGAGTCAAAGAACACACTGATAGTATATAGTACCATGGATTTCTTAGGTGTATGTGTTTAATCAGAGGTAGGTAGGTACTTGAGTAATATTTTAATTGAAGTAGCAGTACTCTTACTTAAGTTATGGTTCCTCTTCTCACTGCGAGTAAGTCTAAAGTGACAAAAACTTTATGTGACAATATGAAATGATTTGAACATTTGTGTTTCTTGCAACTCTCCTTCAGATATGATTTAGTTTGTCTCATTTTTGTGTCTTTGAAAATATCATATTTTATTATTCATTATTTCATGTTTTGTCCATTAAATTACATTAGCTTAAAATGTTTTATCAGATAGTACAATAGTGGTACTTTTCCCAAATACTTTTTTACTCTTACATTTACTATTATCTATTATATTTATCTGATAGGGATGCCATAAAAACCAAAATATCGTGATATCGTATCTTAAAAAGACACAATAATATCATGGGCAATATATCCAATCACAAGTTCCTTTGCTTAAATGCATGATTTTATAGTTGCAACAGCTTATAAACATAAAGAACTACATATCCCATGATGCATTTCAGTGCAGACAAGATGAAGAAATATGTTGAATGAATTGAATTCTTGAATTCTTGGGATTGTGACAGTAACGATTTGCACCAAATCTTGTCAAGGTATTTTAAAAGCAAAAAAGTTATATTAGCCTTTTCAAAATATCGTAATAAATATCGTACCATGAGATGCATATTGTGAAAATATTGTACCGAGAGATTTGGATATCGTTACATCTCCAATATTTAATAAATGTTCAGATCATTTCATATTGTCACATAAAGCTTTTTTCCCTTGTAAATTTACTCACAGTGGGAAGAGTAGCCAAGAGTACTGTTACTTCAATAAAAATATTATAATATTATAATATTATAATATACTCAAGTAGAAGTAAAAGTATGCAGCTAGAAAAGTAGTTTGCAAAGTAACATTTCTTAAAAGTGTTACTCAACTAAATGTAAGCAAGTAGTAGTTCTGTCTGGATTCAAATGTGTCTGGAGTGTAACCCTAACCCTGGTGTCCTTCAGTCCCTGTGGTGCTGAGGAGCTGCAGTGAGTTTGTGGAGAGTCATGGCATCGTGGACGGGATCTACAGATTGTCAGGGGTCTCCTCCAACATACAGAAGCTCAGGTGGGACAAAATCAACCACAATTACACATTCACCTCTCATGTAAACAGGAACACGCAACAGTTACATTTACACACTACACAGCGGGAGATGGGAGACCACTGGGAATTCCAGGTGCTGCTTTGAGGCAGCAGTGGCTATGTGCAAACTGCAGTTGTGTCCTTAGGCAAGACACTTCAGCCACAATGCCTTGTGTGTACCCTGGGGCAGAGTGATGGATGTGAGGTTGCAAATATTTGCCACTGTCCCCTTCGAACATCACCAGCACTCACACACACACACACACACCACATTCATACACAGATAGGTGGAGTGTCCTAGCCTGATTCATCAGCCGGTTTCACTTTGTGGAAACCATCTAACCTCGCAACATTAGGATTCGTTCACTCAGCGGTAGGCGAGTACTTTTTTGATTTAACCAATCGCTTGCTATTTGGTCGTGATGTATGTAATGCGCCAAATCCCGTAGGAAGAAGGACAATAACGTCTTTCCCCTTGATAAAATTGATTCTCTTTGTTCCGGCTTTAAATCCTCGATCTTGGAAATCGTTGCCAACACAGAATGTCTGGCTTCGTCTACATCCATCTCGACCACTTTGTTTACTGTTGTGCTGTACCACAAAAGGAACCCAGACAGACACTTGAGTTTGACGTCATGGCTTCACAGCTCTTCTCTGATTGGCCAGTGCACTGTCTACAACTTCCGGGATTCTTGCAAACCATCTAGTGTATTCCGATTCCTGACCTAGTCGCTGGAGAGAAATTAAATTGAGCGGAAGCACTAGGTGGCGCCAGCCTGGCTAGGAGTGTGCTGCCCAATGACACAACAACAGTATGGGCACAGGTTGGAAGGGGGATTGAACCACTTCACACACTGTTCTAAAGTGTATGTGAATGGTGATATTGTTTTGTGTTTCAGGTCGGAGTTTGAGAGTGAGTCCTCTCCGGACATGAATAAAGACACTTATCTCCAGGACATCCACTGTGTGAGCTCTCTGTGTAAGGCCTACTTCAGAGAACTGCCCAACCCCCTGCTCACCTACCAGCTCTACGACAAGTTCGCCGTCAGTCCCTCACACCACACACACCTCAGTTATTATTCTGACTGTGTGTTTATAATGTTTAAATCATGTTGAAATGTTTACACAGGAGGCTGTGGCGCTCCAGCTGGAGGAGGCGAGACTGGTGAAGATCAGAGACGTGCTCAAAGAACTGCCCCCTCCTCACTACAGGTGAATGGGACATTCCATAAAAGAATATAATAGTCATAATGTCAGAGGGTGGGGGCTTTAAATCCTCTCATCCTGTTGAATCAGAATCTGTTTTATCACCATCATCAGTGAACAACAGCTTTGTAGTTTAATCAGAGAAAGTAAAGAGTCGTCATATTTGGATTAAAAGTTTAAATCAAGTGTTTTTCATGAACAGAATGTGCCTTTAGTGGTTTAACAAAGAAATACTGCTGTAAAAATGTACTTACAACAGTCCCCTTCAAACAGAGACATGCAGTACAACAGTGTTTCCAAACTTTTTTCCTTTGGACCCATATTTGAAAAGTCACAAACCTTCATGACCCAAGTCAATAGACATTATTCCTAAATCACAAAATAAACTTGGATTTGACCATTACTGAACATTAATGAGGATATTTTATTGTTGACTGAGTGATCGTGTCTCTGAACAATTAGTATTACTCAAGTTTTAAACAATGAAAAACAGTCATTGAAGCAGCAATAAAAGGATCCATAAGTCGCCTATTTGGACATAAAATTTATTGCATTTCTTTTCCTTTTCAACATTCAATTGAACCAGCAATACTGGAACAAAACAGTCACTCGCTCTCTCATGTGTCAGAAGTGTATTTTGCAGACCTACATGTAAATCGTGACAAGGCGACCCCCAAAAAAATTTCTTGCGACCCACCTATTATCATGGCAGAATACTGATATTATTACATTGTGATCCTCGTATTATGTAACAGTTTGAATTGTGATTCCCAGCAATACTAAGCTCTAGTTTAACGCATTGTGTGATACTGACCTTTGACCTCTGACCTGTTCTCTCTCTTCAGGACATTGGAGTTCTTGATGCGTCACTTGGTTCGAGTGGCTTCTTTCGCCTCAGAGACAAACATGCACTCGAGAAACCTGGCCATCGTCTGGGCCCCGAACCTGCTCCGGTCAGTGCACTGTTTAATAATAAAACCAGACATATTGTTTTAAGACACTACAGGAAAACTCCTAAACTCCTTTTCTCAACAGTTTTTGCCCAATTTCCTCTCAACATATCATAATACTAATCTGCAGCTAAAGTCCTTTGTTATCATGTTATAGAGGAATATATTACATTATGAAAAGTGATGTTTTGTTTCCTGATATTTAGAAGTTTCTAATTGCTATCTCTTAATGTGTATGTATTTTATCACTATTTTTCGTTTTCATATTTTCTTCTTCATATTCTCGTGCACAGGTCGAAGGAGATCGAGGTGTCTGGGTTTAACGGCACAGCGGCGTTCATGGAGGTCCGGGTCCAGTCCATCGTAGTGGAGTTCATCCTCACCCACGTCCCTCAGCTGTTTCCTGAACCAGGTCAGTCTCTGAGTCTGGATCTGAGCCGTAAGAGAGTCGCTGATTTAAGGATGGGTTTGAGTCCGAGTTTGGTTCTGGTCTAATCTTGGTTTAGTTCCAGTTTAGTCCTATTTTTTGCAGTGGGGATCACGTAATAGCAGCTAAAATCAGTATTAAAAGTGCACTATGTAACTTTTTTGCTGGTTCTGGGTCTGCCATCTGCTTAACTACATGGAAATACAGTACTGTTGCTTTACCCGGAATGTTCCGCAGTATAGAATGAAACTATTATTCAATTACAGTTTATTGTATTACTCTAAAAACCTTGATAAACAAGATCTGACCCATAACTTGACCTGGTGGCACCAAAAGGGAGATAGATAAGTTTAATGCCATACTGTGGAAAATATTAAGCAACGCAATGACATCGCCATGGAGACAAGGAGGTGGCTGACACAGTAGAAATCGTTTCATAGTTAAACCTTTAACTTTTTAACTATTCAAATGCAGGTGATTTTATTGCTCAGAAATACCTTAAAAAACATTCGTTCTTACAGTGACTGTCTCCTGCTGCTTGTTTCCATGGAGATACATATGTTTAATGCCATACTGTGGAACATTCTATGAAAAGCAATAACAACCCCATGGAGACAAGCAGGTGGAGGACCCTTGAGAAAAAGTTCTAGATTTACTTTTACAAAAATATCTTTCCATCAACATTTCTCTTATCTGCATCTTTTTTCACCCACACCCTTCAGTTTCTCACTCTATTTCAGTTTTTTTTTTTTTAATCTATCATTTCTTAGTGATGATTGACAGGTGTGAAGTCCCACCTCTTTTCTCTTCTGCATAGAGAGTCACATTCGTACAACTTGGGGTGTGTCCCATTTCTGTTCACTCACCTCTTCAACTCCTTGTTTCCTCCTTAAGTGTGAACCCTGCCTTGAGGAGAGACAGGAACATCACAACATTTACCAGGGCCATCATATTTAACACAGATGTGGAAAACTAAAATAAACACTGTTAAAATGCAGATTTCTGTTGTTCCAGGGTTTAGTCATTCATTATTCTGCTGCTGCTGTGATGTTTACTCACACTTTTCTATTATTAACCCCTCCTTTAAAATCATATATTAAGCAGACTAGACTCCTGTGACCTCCTCAAAAACAGACCTGGAGCTGTGTTTTGTTTCATGTTTGAGTAACTCTTTATTGTTTGTCGTCATCTCCAAAGTTGTTCTGAAGATGTGTGTAAAATCCCTCAGTCGTCCAGGTAGACTCCATTGCAAAAGGAGAAATTCATACCTACTTGTCAACAGTGCAAAGCTTCATAGATGCAAAACTCGTCAAAATGATCATTTTCATGTTCCAAAATGTGTCACATCAAGAGCTCAGTTTTGTCTGCGATACAGACGCTGTAAATTCAGGAGCCAGTTTTCACATCTGGTTAGTCATGGCACATCAGAGGCATTGTTTAAAAAGAGAAGAAATGTTTGATATTTCATGGTGATGTTTGATAATCGTTCAATTGTGGATGTTTCATTGTGTTTTAATCCATGTTTGAATCAAATTAATTTAATCCATGGTGTTTAATTAAATGTAATGTGTGGTGTTTAAATGTTTATGCACAGCGATAATGTTCAATTTTTAATGTATTCATAAGGTGGAGGCTTTAATATAAGCCCTTTTGGGTTTTTTGCCTCTTCTGGCGCTTTTTGTTATGTTATATGTGCAAAATAAATAAATAACAGGTAGATGTGTTAGTTTCAGAGTAGTTTCAGTGTAGTTAGCTCCTCCCTTCAGGCAGATATAAGACAGTGTCCACCAGCGTCTAACCACAACTGAGGAAGCAGCTTGGATGAGTCAGCTGACAAATTGAATTTCTCCTTTGCAATACATTTCCAAAGCTCAAAATTCTCTGTTCCATGTTGTGATGTCATGAAGTGGTGGCAGTTTTCACGTTAAGGGCTCCTTTTATTTTTAGTTCAGTAGAGATTGAAGATTCCAGGGCTGAAATCATCCAGTGAAGGTGTATGGACTTTAAAAACGCAGTGGAGCATTTCCTGTATTACCACATGATCACATCACCATCACAAGGTGGAGCTTAGCCTAAATCTGCAGGGTTTGTGTGTTAAACATGTGTGAAAGAAACAAAACACAACTCCAGGTCTGTTTGTGATGAGGAAACTACATCAGAGCATAGATCAGAAAACAGCCCTTTAATGAGCACTTTAATGCTCCTCATACATAAAGGTGCCGTGTGTTTCAGGTGTGTCGACTGAGAGAAGGAAGTCCCTCCCCTCTCCATCTCTCCTGGTCAATCAGGATGAGCTGTTCTTCAAGTCACAACCGACGGTGAACATCGGCAACCTGAGTCCTGGAGACGGTCCTCTGCCCATACGACCCTATCACTCAATCATCGAGGGCACTGACAAGTGAGGAAATCAACATTTATACCAATATATTATTAATATATTAGTCAATTCATGTTTTATAGAGTTAAAAAAAATTAAACACACCTGATTTTTGCTGTCTTAAAAACAAACTAATTATTTTTAAATGTTTTTCATATGTCACACATTCCTAACGTCCTAATTATTCACTGTGTTATAGTGAGTTTCACAACTTTCAGAGGCCAAAGCGGAAACTGCACTGCAAAAAAGCTTGGCCAAAATTTAAGATATAAATCTATCAGAAAATGACTTAAAAGTAATGAAATGATCTATCCATGCAGCAAAATCATTTTACTTGGCAAGTTATCTTAAAATAAACTACCTCTAGACTAGAAATGAAGCATCCCAGAACTAGTTTGAGACAGCAAACTAGTTTGGAGGATTTGTTTGTATTTGTTTGGAGGATTAAGAGTCTCGCCATCCCATTTTCAAGGCGGTCGTCATAGTTACAACAACAGAAGACAGATACAGTAGAGCAGACAGGAGGCTACATACATTCAAATAAAGATAGAAAAAACAAAACAATAAAATATACAACCACACACACACACACGCACACACACACACACACACACACACACGCACACACACACACACACACACACACACACACACACACACACACACACACACACACACACACACACAGACTCACACACACACACAGACTCACACTTGACTGTTAGACACAGAATAAATCTAATTTGAGCAAAAACTCAGACAGAGTTCAAATATAGTCACAAAATGCAACAATATGAACAACAAAATTCAACAAGATGATCAAAAACAATTACACAAGTTATGTAAATGTTGTACCAGAGCATTTTTAATTGAAGGGACAGAAGTTAATGCTCGAATCGATGAGGAAAGATTGTTCCAATCAAAGGAGCTTTATATTTAAGTTAGTTTTTTCCTATTTGTTTTTTGACTCTTGGGACAACAACAAAAAATCTGTTCTGCGTTGCGTAAACTGTAGGATCTGAATGGAATTAAATACTGTTTGGGATATTCAGGATAACTGAGATGAATGCATTTAAAGTGAGTGAGTTCTGAAGGGACAGCGGAGAATAACATTTTTGGTAATCTTTTTCCTAACAGAAAAGCTAAAACAATTGATGGATTGGTAAAATAATTTTAATCAGTGTGAAATTGTGTTTGTAATAGTTTGCATGTGGGCACTGAATGAGAGTGATGGGTCAAGCCATAAACCAAGATATTTACATTTTTCAACAGTTATAATTGGTGATGAATCAGTAAATGTAGAGGACAGGTTTAATTTCTGAAACAACATAAATCAACATAAAATATGATTTTAATTTATTAAGTAGTAATTTGTTACTAGTAAGTACATAATAAAGTAAGATGAATAACTTGATGTAAGTTTTAAACTCTTGGCCAGCTCAAAGAATTTGCAGAGTGGGCGTCATTGCCACGCTAGCAACAACTAGCATGCAAACTACGCACCACAGTTACTTCCTGGTTCATGGACCATAAAAATATGTTTGAATAAGATGCAGACAGAACAAAGTGGCCTCATTTTGACACTAAGAGCTGCTTCTATATTGTACTTAATCACATGTAAAGAAAAAAATAATAATTATTCTGCTTTTGACGGGTTTCTGTCTCTTGGTCTAGTTCCGTGTTAGTCTTGGTTTAGTTTTGGTCCTGTATTTGTAGTCATCCCTTAGAAAAAGAGTTCTAGATTGTCTTTGTAACACATTTATCAATAATGTTACTGTGTCTGTGTTCCAGGAGGAAAGGGTCTCTGAAGGGCAGGAAGTGGATGTCCATTTTTAACATCGGAGGACGAATAACCGAGACTCGAAGAAAACACAAACACTCCACAAAAGGTACAGACGCTTTAAAGATGCACTGTGTGACTTTTCTGCAGACTGGCTGGAGAGCTGCTTGTCTCCATGGAGATGTTACAGCCTTTCCTGGAATTGTCCACAGTATGGCATTAAACATATGTCTTGTATTATTAAACACAACCACTTTTATGTTAATATCTATAATACCTTGAAAAACTTGCATTCTTACTGTGAGTAGGGACGTCTCTCCACAGCTCTGACCAGTAACTTGGCCCTTTTTATGTCATCTGCTTGTTTCCATGGAGACATTATAGTATTTCTTTGAATTGTACACAGTTATGGCTATAAATATATGTCCTGTATTTAGTCAGCTCAACTGTTTTTATTTTAATTTATGTAAAACCTTCAAAAACATGCATTCTTACCGTGACTGGGGTTGCTTCTCCACAGACCTGACCAGTAACTTATATGTCCTGCTTGTTTACATGAAGATACATTGAATGCCATACTGCGGAACATTCTTGACAAAGCATTGACGTCTGTGAGTCGTTTTCTGATCCCATTTTTAACTTATTTTTCAGAAAAAGAACATCCCACCTTGAGGTCGGCGCGAAGTATGGACTCTCTCAGCTCTCCCTCCAATAACGGTATGATGCTTTTCTTAAGATAAATGTTTCTATCCACAAAATTCTGAGTTTTCTCTGTCAGTTCAGATAAATAAGAGAGGGCTAGGGTTGCAATGTCTGTGTTGATAGAATAATGTTTGAAATAAAACTGACCTTGCATCGCATGAATCGTTGTATGTTGAGGGACTATTTTCTCAGCAGCAGCAGAATTTTACTTTATCAGTAAGATAGGTGCTAGGTGATACAGTCCGCCGCTGCCAAGCTTTCTATCAGGAAGTACAACTCACTGCTGCTGCTCAGACATAAATACTTCAAATGCAATTTTGGATTTACTTCTAAAATTATTCTATCAACACAGACATTTACATGGACAGTCTGGTGTAATAATAGATTTTCTTTGGGTGTTTTGTGGAGTGGGTAAGACTGTTTTTAGTGACAGGCTAACTATGGCCATTGACATGCACTAGCCTAGCACCAGCGACCTCTGCAAATACAAGGACTGGATGGAATATTTTAAAAAGTGTCTCCACACATCTTCAACACTCTGACTAATTAGGAAATGAGGTTCTATGTCCAAAATTCCGGACTGTCCCTTTAAATCATAAAGATGTGATTGTTGTTGGTTGTAAGAACTTGAAGCATTTGTTGGATATTTCTTTCGAAAACAATAAAGCTCTCGCAGTTAGTATATAAGGCTATAGGCTTTATATATAAATGGACGTAGCTAACCCGCTAGCCGCTGCGTCCCAAATAGAATGTGAGCATTGTCGCGCTTCTGGTTCCATCAACTCTGGCTCTAAATCAATTTCTACTGAAATAATGTCACCCCTCTTTCTGTAACTGCTGCTCTCAGGCTCCTCATTTTGGTCTTAAAATGTTCATATTAACCTGCTCCACATGATCCTGAGGTTTTTGAGGTGCCGGCAGTCAAACTTCAACATCTTCACTCTGCATTGGTTCTTTGGTTGCTATGGTACTCGTGGTCACAATTCCAAATGTGGAAACTGGCTCCGCTACAACTGCGAGCCTCAATGAGCTTCATTTGACTGGGGTTAAACACTGTGGATGATGATGCTCTTCCTTTGTCCACTTCTTTATAGAGTATAGAACCTGAACACCCTACTTTGACTTAAGGCCGACACACACTATTAGAGAATTTGCCTGATTTTGGCTGCGATTTGTTTCTCCCTGAGTTCCGGGAGGTGTGATCCGACTTTTTGTCTTAGTGTACGATTTTGAAACCACTGTGCTCCTCGTGTGTGTGTGTGTGTGTGTGTGTGGTGTCAGTGTGACTCTGAGCTGCTCTGTCAGATCATAACCACCAAACATCAGCAATGCTACAGCAACAGCCAATATAACAGAGCGTCAGGGGCAGAGGAGTGACGGACGCAAGTTACAAACTCTGGATATAGTGAAAATAATGAGAAGACTTTATTCCTCACTTCTTGTAAAGTGGTAAATTTAGACTGCAGCTTCTCATCCATATTATCCATAGAAATTGTCCTTTGCAAATAATGACACCTAGTCCACAAAACCAGGCTGTGAATCCAGTTTGAGGCGTTCTTTAAAAGTAAAAAGGTGAGAGTAGTTCTTCATGTGTGTCTGTTTACATCCACACAGAGCACGGATCGAGGTAAAGCTGCAGATTAGTAATAGTCACTCTACTTCCTTTGGACTTTACCGCCAATCTTTTATGCTTTAAAAATCATGTATCTGAAATATTGCACCACATTTCACAAATAATAACAACAATTTTGACTTGTATCTAAACTAAAAGTGCTGTGCTCTGATCTTTTGAACAGTCTCAGAGCAAGTGGTTTTACTGTAGACAGGAAACAGCTGATGTAACTGCGCTCACACCTTTATATCCTGTGGTCAGCAGACGTAACCCGCTGCAGTCTTTGCGATTTAAAATCTCATAGAATTCTCCTCGTGTCTGTGGGGTGCGCTTTTTGTCATGCATTTAAAAACTGTTTAAGACTGAAAAATCCTGTAGTGTGTGGCGGCCTTTAAAAAAACTTTATCAATCCACAAGGGAATTCACACTTCACAACTAATATAATAACAAAAAGCAGAAGTATGAATAAAAACAAACAGCTACCGATCACATTTTTGTCTCTAACAATGATCTCTTCTTTCTCCAGACCCCAAACGCTCCCCACGGCCTCCCTCCACTCACCTCTCCATCCCCCAACCACAGCCAATGGCCCAGCCCGACCCCGCCCCCTCCTCCTCACCGCAGGGAGGCAGCATGTACGCCGTCACCTACCGCAGGGGCACCGGGCTGGTCAGTACCGGGACTCAGGGCACCTACACAGCCTTAGATCCTGAAGGACTAACACCTCCTTCAGAAGCCGTCCAGACCAGATCTCCAGGACTCTCGACCAAAGCAGGACGCAGGATCGCCATGCACATAACGGGCCCGACCATGGTCACTGTCCCTCTGCACATCACTTCAAATTTGGCGTTCGGAGTTCTGCAAGGAGGAGGGGCTGATCGGGTTATACACAGAGGGAGGGACAGGGAGCAAGGAGATGTAAAAAGTGAAAGGAAAGGAAGCGAGGTGGAGAAAAAGGAGGAAGAGGACGAGGAAGTGGATGGAAAGACTGGATTGGAAAATAGTGAGGATGGAGGAGAGAAAGAGGAGAGAGAGAAAAAGGAGAGAGGAGGAAAGGATGGAGAGGAGATGGAGAGAAGACAGCGTCAGTGGGAAGAGGAGCCAACGATCACAAAAAGAACAAAAAGTGAAGCATCAAACTCAGAAGAACAAGAGAAAGATGAAAACCAAGATGATGAATACATGGGTAAGTCACCTGCAAACTTTGGGTAGAACGATTTTTCTACTTTAACATTTAAAGGGCCCAGAAGACACTATTTTCTGATCTGAAGAGTAGCTCAGCGATGTTGCTCACAAAGATGAAGTATTACTACAACTTCCCTTTAGACAGTAACATTACCAGTGTGAAGTTACAAAGTTTACTCACAATGCTCAAGTAAGAATCCACTAGGACTAAACCAAAACTAAACCAGGACTAAACCAAAACTAAACCAGGACTAAACCAGGACTCAACCACATACTAAACCAGGTACTAAACCAGGTACTACACCAGAATTAGACCAGGAATAAACCAGGATTAAACAGGACTAAACCAGGAACTAAGCCAGGACTAAACATGGACTAAACCAGGACTAAAACAGGTACTAAACCCGGGCTAAACCTGGTACTAAACCAGGACTAAAGCCAAACTGAATTAAGACTTAACCCAGACTAAACCAGGACTAAACCAGGATGCAACCATAACTCAACCAGGTACTAAACCAGGACTAAACCTGGACTAAACCTGGACTAAACCTAGTACTAAACCAGGACTCAACCAGGGACTAAACCAGGACTAAACCTGGACTAAACCTGGACTATACCCAGACTAAACCTGGCACTAAACCAGAACTAGACCAGGTATAAACCAAGACTCATGCTGAACTAAATCCAGACTTAACCAAGATTAAATCAGGACTAAACCAGGACTCAACCGGACTCAACCAGGTACTAAACCAGGGCTAGACCAGGTATAAACCAGGACTAGACCAGGACAAAACCCAGACTAAATTAGAACTATGTTTTTACATCAGTGTACATCAGTTAATGAGTGGGGTTACCTGTCCATAGATCTGGTGGCTCTACCTGATTAACTCCTGGGGGATAGAAATGTAATGCTGGATTGTGGAACATTCTAGGCAAAGCAAAAGCAATATAACTTTTTGTTATATTGGTTTTGTTCATGAAACGTGCTATATAAATAAATTGGGTTGGATAACTTCTCCAGCTTGTGTCCACAACTTGTCCACTTCTGGACACAAGCTGTTTGCTTACCCTCCACGAGAAAAGTTACTCTTTAGTACAACCATTTTAGCAAAACAGTACTTCTCGATTTTATGTTTGGACTGCATTTTAGACATTGATCATTTCCTCTCCGCAGATATGAAGGGGGGGACGAAAGGACATCACCACCACCATCACGATGAACCAAAACCAGACGCTGCAGAAGCCTCCGCGTTTGATCCAGAAGAGGTTTTAAACTCTACAGAAGTGGACGACCTCACTCTGTCTGGATACGTGCAGGACAACTTTGAATTCCTGGACCAGATGGACTGCAGCATCATGGACTGCAGCGTGTCCAACCAGGTCTGTATTTAGCCTCATTTAAATCTTTATTTCTCACGAATGATTTGTTTACGACACTGAATCAGAAAAAAATTGGGATAACTTTGAAGGTCAATACAAAGGGCCCATATTACTCAGATGAGGAAGTAGAGATAGGGAAGTTTAATTAAGTGGGCAAACAACACTGGTGAATGAAGAGTATAACGGTTTGTAACGTATATACTAGTATTTAAATGCATTTTTGTTTGTTTCAGATTAATGAATTTTCCGTGGAGCCTCCGGGACACTATGACGAAGAGTACGAAACCATGGACCAATCACATCACAGTCCTATGCCGTTAAGCCCTTCCCTTCTTGCCACAGTCTCTCCCACTTCCCCCGTAGCCCCTCCCACACACATGAGCCCGCCCCGTCACCTCACGACAGACCTTTACCATCGCCACACCAAATCCCTGAGCCTGCCCTACATCACCTCACCGGGCCCGTGTCCAGATGGGTGCAGCTCCGAAGACGACGATATGAGCGACGATCAGGAATATGTCAGCAGTAGTGATGAAGAAGACGACGATGATGAAAATATGTTTGTGAAAAGTTTACCGTCTGATTTCTTTCTAAATAATTTGACAAATACGGAAATACAACTTGAGGAGGACGGAAAATTAGATGGTGCAATCTTGGAGGATACAGAGCAAAATGTAATGGTTGGAGAAGCTTCACAAAGTATTCAAGATCAGATTTTGGTTAAAAGGGAGGATGAAAATACATTTGGGAAAAATGAAGAGTCTGATTTATTTCTAAATAACTTGACAAATACAGAAATACAACTCAAGGAGGACCAAAAATTAGATGGTGCAAGCTTGGAAGATATAGAGCAAAATGTATTGGTTGGAGAAACTTCACGAAGTATTCAAGATGAGATTTTGGTCCAAGAAGATGATGGGAATATGTTTGTGAAAAGTTTACCTTGTGATTTCTTTCTAAATGATTTGACAAACACGGAAATACAAGGCCAGAACTTAGCTGATGCAAACTTGGAAGATACACAACAAAAGGTATCGGAAGCTTCAAAAAGTCTTCAAGATGAGATTTTGGTCAAAGAAATTGACGAAAACATCTTATCATCCAATATCTTTCTAGATAATTTGCCAAATACGGAAATGCAACTCGAGGATGACCAAAAAGATGAGATTTTCGTGGAGGAGGAAATCAAAAATCAAACTCATGAATCAACAGATGAGGACTTGCACGATATAGGAAGTGAAACTGTAGTGATCCACAAAGATGAACTGGAGTCAACTGAAAAACATGCAGAATTTGAGGAAAGAAACCAAGACAGACAGAGTTCAAAAAATACAAAGGACAAAACAGGAAATGTAATTCAAGAGGCGCTATATCAAACTCATGAACCAGCGAATGAGGACTTGCAGGCTGAAAGTGAAAGTGTGGTAATGCAGGAAGACACAATGGATGGTTCAGATAAATTAGAAGATTTGGAAATGCAGTGTAAACAGGAAGTGGTTGCAAATGAAGAGAAAACACAGGAACAAGACCATTTTCAGGAAATAGATGCAAGAGTTACAAGGTGAGTTGTTTTTTATTATTATTATTTTATATCTTTATTCAATAGGGATTTCACGGTTGGTGGAGTGGTCAATGTGAGTACCTTTTAGAGCCCTCAAGGAAGCCTTACAGAGCATAATTTAAACATTAAAATGATGGAATTAAATCAAATGCATTAAAACAAAAGTATGGCTAATATAGGCAAACAAAAGTAATAACAAAAGTGGTGTATGAGATGAAAAGAAATGGGGCAAGAACAGTGCCTTGTGGAATACCATTGCTGAAAACAAAAACGAGCTACATAATACACACTATGCTGCGTTCATGTGGTCCTCGGGAAGTCAGGATTCAGAGATGACAGGATTTTGACTTTTCTGCGTTCATGTACTTTTATCTTAGAAATCTGGGTTTTGTTAGCCAGGCTGGCACCACCTAGTGCCTCTGCCCAATTTCATTTCTCTCCAGCGACTAGGTCAGGAATCAGAATACAATAGACGGTTTGCAAAAACCCCAGAAGTGCAAGTTCGGGCACCAGCCAATCAACGAAGAGCCATACATTCTGTGTTGTTAACAATTCCCGAGATCGAGGATTTAAAGCCGGAATAAAGAGAATGTTTGGTAAATTTCATCAAGAGGAAAGACGTTATTTCCCTTCTTCCTACGGGATTTGGGAAAAGCTTAATATACCAGTTAGCCCTGTTAGCGACTCATTACATACGTCATGACCAAATAGCAGCGATTGGTTAAATGATAAAAAGTGCCCACCTACCGTCGAGCAAACAAATTCTAACACTGCGAGGTCAGACGGTTTGTACAAAGTGAAACGAAGTAAAACCGGCTGATGAATGAGGCTAGCATTTTGTAGTCACCATCAGTAAAATCACCAGCGTGATTCATTGGTTCCGTTTACCTTCTCAAAACTAAACTTAACATTTGTTTACTTAAGCTTGTTAACATTAAACAGTTGTAGTCTTGAGTCTTTCCCCTGAAACCCCTGAATGTAAAAACCTTCAGTCAAAGAGCTCAAATGTGTTAAATTGTCGGTAAACTGACAAATCAGCTGATTTTGGTTCATGTGCACAGAGCAGTGACATCATGACTTCCCGAGGATCACACAAATGCAGCATTAATATAATAATTCATCCATGCTGATTCTGAAGTGTCTTGCCCAAGGATACAATGGCTTTGTCTGAATCACAAAGTCTTTAAAGTTTGTCATTGAGCCTATGAAAATGAATGCACGATACTTGACAATAACAATACAATACTTAAATTAAATGTAGTATGTTTTTTTAATTGTTTGGAAATATAAAAAGTAAAAGTTTTCATATATTATAATCTTGTTTATTTTTGCTCTTCTGTTGCAGCATTGAACCAGCAGATAGCAGCACAGAGGAACCCACTCCTGTTGATGAAGGCATTGACCAAGTGGACCACGTACTTTACCAGCAAATGGAGCGCGCAGATGAGAAGCACATTACCTTTTACAATCCACTGTTTCAGGAAGAAGAGGAAATCACAGGCGGCCATTTTGAGCCAGCGAAACAGGAAGTTTGTCAAGATACAGAACAAATAGTACCACCTGAACTGGACGGTGGTGACAGTGTTGTAAATATGCTACAAGAACAATCTGATGATGAAGATATTTTTGACAATGAAATTGGAAAACAAGAAACTATTGAAAAGCTTGATAATATTTTGGTTATAATGGAGGAAATGATTAGCGGTAGAAGTGAAGTGATTGAGGATATAGAAACACAAGCAAAAGACATAGAAAAGGCAACGGATAATGGCGAGACCAAAGGTGTATTGGATTCAGGTGTAAATAGTGCTGAAAATGAGACAATTGTTATGCGAAAGGACAAATCTGAAGCAAATATCAAACTTGAAGATGGACATTTTGAAGCGCAAAGTCACCAAGACATAGTAGAAAAAACTGGCGAAACACCACAAAATGTATCTCAAACCGAAAAACCTCTGGACAAGGAACTCCATTCTGTGCAAAGCGTCGGAAGCAAAGTTGTAACCTCAAAATTACCAAAAGTTTATCAAGTGAAAGCAGTACCGATCGTCCCGCCGAAACCGCAGCACTGCAAGCTGACGGCCCTAAAGCTACGCCAACAACAGCAGCAAAGGGAAAGGGCCCGAGAGGAGAGGTTGAGCCACGGAGCGGAGGTGGAGGAGCATTTAAATATGGCGTCAAGGGCGGGGGCGGAGAGGTGGAGAGAGGGGGAGGAGAACGCCAGACACAGCCCCCAGAGCATGTGCTTCGACGAGGCTGTGGCCATCGCGACCCTACGGAGAGGCAGAGGGAGGGACGGCGAGAGAGACAGGCCGAAAGAGTAGAAGAAGAAATGTACAAACTGTTTTCATTTGATACTTGGCACTGATGCTGGGGGGTTCGGCATGTGTGTCTATGGTGGATAATTCAGCAGATACTATGGTTAGGAAACACTGCCAGAAAAGTTTTAAGATTGTCTGAAAACTTGAGGGAACATTTTCAGGAGCCTGTGATCAATACCAGCATTCATAGTTGTTTTATTTTCAACAAACAGTGAAAGTGACTAACTGAAAAACTGTTGGCATGTGACTGTGACATTATTTGAAGTCTTGTTTAACAGCACAAACCAGCTGTAGTTCCAGCTAAATCAGTTTTCATGGTCAGATTGTGTACAAAACAGACAAAGCTCAGAGTAAAGTCTAACTTGAGTAACGGGGATTCAGACAGAGCAGTGCCCTCAGTTAGCTTCACCATCCTCAGGGAGTGTTGATGACATCAGCTGCAAAGTATCAAAAGCTAGTTTAGTTTAGTTTACTGATGTAAATTTAGGGGAGTGGGAGAAGAGTGGACTGAAGAATTAAGATAACATTGGATGGCGAAAGACTGCAAAAATATAAAGCTCTTCCACTTGTGTTAAAATGAAAGAATTTTGGTGACGTCATCTGATTGTCTCCATGGAAATTAGATTAATGCCATATAGTGAAAAATCCAAAGCAATAGCATCGTCCTGGAGACAAGCAGGTGACCATACGCTAGGGCAGGGGTGGGCAATTATTTTCCCATGGGGGCCACATCAGAAACGAAAAATATTCTGGAGGACCAGGTCAAAATGTTTAACTCAATTCTACAAAATATGAATTGTATTTCTTCATAAAAAGCAGTAAATAGCATAGTTTTGGCAAGCTGGTTTATGACAAGAGTTTATGTTATGACTAAACAATGAAAAAGTGAGGTTGCTTTACAGAAAATGGCATAAAAAAACACCTCTAAAATTAAAACAATGCAGCTTTAGTCCATGCATGAGGTCTTATGATAAAATATGTTTATTTTGTGATTCAAATGAGCTTAAACAGGAGCTGTACAATGCCCAGGTCTATGCTAGGGTGACCAGATATCCATATTTACACCAGGCAGTCCCAGTTTTGAGCCCTGTGTCCCCTGTCCCAGTAGATTTATCCAGAACCAATGATTTGTCCCAGTTTTATACAAGAAATGTCCCAGGTAGGGATGTAACAATAACCGAAATATTGTGATATTGTATTGTCAAAAGTCTCACAATAATATCATGGACCATCACAATATATCGAATTACATCTTTGCTTAAATTAAGAGTTATGGTGCAGCAACAGCTAAAAAAAAAAAAAGACAGAACTACACAGACCATGATCCTTTGCTCCATTACAGTGTAGACTACAAGAAGAAATTCTTGAGCACTATTACGTCTTAGTTCTTTGGATTAAGTCATGTTAAGGCATTTTACGATGAAAAAGTAGCATATTTATATATAGTTTTGTTAGCCTCGACAAAATATCGTAATAAATATCGTACTCTGAGATGTATATCGTGAAAATATTGTACTGAGAGATTTGGATATTGTTGCATCGTGAGCCTCCCCACCATATCGTGAGATTTCCCACGATATCGCAGAAGATATCGTACCGTGAGGTTCATACTGTGATGATATCGTATCATGAGACTTGGATATCGTTACACCCCTAGTCCCAGGTGTCCCTATTTTTACCAATTTGATATATGCCAACAGTAAAAAAGAGGCATAAAGTGTCATTTGTTTCGGTAAAATACAGAAAAGCTTAAAAACGACCAAACCACAAAGAAAATGTGACTATACTGGCTCACATGTCATGAATGAGATGAGTGCAGAACAGTTTTGCTTAATTACGCCCTCGATTCACAATTTTATTATTACCAACTACCAATCCCAGTTTTTGATTTTGAAAATTTGGTCACCCTACCATACTCTGATAAAGTTACACACTGCACCTTTAAGTTTATTTGACACATTATTTTGAGTCAAGCCAAGTGTCAGATAAATAAGTCCGTAAATAACAAATATTAGTCAGTCCACTTTTCTCCAACTGCCCACAATGGAAAAGGTCTGCATTTTTTTATTACTATGATTATGTTTTATGATCAGAACATGTCAATATATTTTTGTATACTTGTTTGCACATGGAAATATTGAATAAAATATACACTTTTGTTAATATATTTTTTTCTTTCTTATTGGTGAAAGTTTGTGAAATAATGGAGAAAAAAAGCTAAAACACAAAAGAAATATACATGCACGACTCTATATAACTATTAGGGATGGGACGAGACACAATTTCCACAGGACGAGACGAGATACGAGGCAAGATGAGATTTTAATATCATTTCTAATATATAATTTTTGCGATTCAGTTTCCTGTTTTGGCCTCACAATTTTGTATTTATTTGATTTCATATTTTTTCTCCATTTTAGTATTGCTTTTTGGATCTGTAAGAGATGTAACTCACCCACATGTTTTTTTTGTCTTATCCGAATGTAAAGTGAGATCATTTTTCTTATGCGTGCACGATCTTATGGCAATTTTATGTCACAAGATCTTGTCCCATCCCTAATAACCATGATACAAATGTGCAAATGTTTTAAGATACAGGTCAAAATGGTTGATGTTAGATTCCCACTGAATTCTCTTACAATCGCAGGTTTTAAACTTCTTGGGTTCTTTTTAAAGACAATGCAGTAAAGTGTATTTACCTTGTTGACATGTTTCGGCTGCTAGCTGCAAGCCATCTTCAGAACTGTCACCGGTGTTGGTGGTGACGTGTCGTATATCAGCTGTTGTTACTTCCTGTAGGCGTGGTCAGCCTGATGGACCTGGCAGTTCAAACGCTGGATCAAGGAGGCCATTGAAATCAGGAAACGAGGCACGGACAGCATTAACCGGGACGACGGCGCGTTCCTCCTTTCACACACCTGGGACACCCTCCTCCAGAGACACCGGGCGACGGGAGGCGTGGTCAGTCTGAGCGACCTGCCAGGTCCATCACACTGACCACGCCTACAGGAAGTAACAACAGCTGATATACGACACGTCACCACCAACACCGGTGACAGTTCTGAAGATGGCTCGCAGCAGCAGCCGAAACATGTCAACAAGGTAAATACACTTTACTGCATTGTCTTTAAAAAGAACCCAAGAAGTTAAAGTATATAAGAAGACAAAATGAACATCTTTTGCTTAATCGCAGGTTTGTTCTAACGGTTATCAATGGATACATAATAATATATGTACAAAAAATTCAATAAAAACAATGGAATAAATTAAAATAAATAAAAGACAGGGCAACACACAGCTCATGGCAATAACTGTAACAATTAAAAATCCATGGGTCTTTCAAATATTTCATGAATTAAGGTATTGTAATCTTCACTGGCTCCAAGGTCCATTTGATATTGAAGGTCGTATATCCATTTCCTCTCAGTGTTGCATTCAGCTACAGACACGAGACAGATTATGATGAACATGATCTAGTGTCCTGCACAGAACCATCTCATCTGCCATTTCGTTAATTAACCCCTTAGTTTTCACATGTTTAACACACAAACCCTGCACAGTTAGTTCTTCTCTCAAACAGAAAACACTCTGTTCCACCTTGAGATGTCATGTGGTAATATAGGATATGCTTCACTGTCTTTTTAAACTCCATACCCCTTCATTAGAATTATCTGGATAACTTCACGCTGCAATTTCCTATCTCTTCTGAACAAAAGGTAAAAGGAGCTGTTAACATGAAAACTACAGCTTAATGACATCACAATGTGGAACAGAGCATTTTGAGCTTTGGAGATGTAGACAGACTCATAATTAATGATTACTCAAATGTGTGAATGAAACAAAACACAAATCCAGGTTTGTTTTTGAACACAGAACAATGTTCTAAAAAAGCTCACAAGAGTCAAGTTAGCACAATACAGGACTTTAAAAAATAAACCCCCCAAAATACTTTGCTCTCACATTCCTAGACTTTTATTTTGAAGGCACCTGAGCCTTACCTGTTGGAGGATGTGTGAGATTATATTTGGGTCAGTGAGGTCTGCAGTGGTGTGAAAGTTTATGGTCACTGTGGTCTTCAGGATCATATCTGAGAAATGGAAATGTTCTACTTTAGTCCTTTAATGTAAAAACTTAAAGAATACATATTATGCTTTTCCTTTGAGTATACTGATCTATGCCTGGTTAGTAATAGCAACATTTCATTTCCGTATTCTTGAAAAATGTCTATGAATCATTTTTGAACCCTATATGTTTTTGAATACTTTTTGAAGTATTAAAAACTCCATACATCTTCACTAGGATCATTGGGAAAATTTCAGGCAATTTCAGGCAATCTCTACTGAACAAAAGGTAAAAGATTAACTTGAAAGCCGTTAATTTGAAAACTACCACTTCATGATATCACAAGGTGGAACAGAGCATTTTGAGCTTTGGAGATGTAGACAGACTAATAATACAGGGTTACTCAAATGTGTGAATGAATCAAAACACAACTTCAGGTCTGTTTTTGATGAGATCACATTATAACTTAAAGCTCACAAGAGTCAATTTGGTGTAATATGGGACCTTTAAGGGTCTTGATAGAGTGTGTAAGTAAATAAAGCCGTTACCTTCCTGGCAGACAAAACAATGGAGGAATGCACAATCTGCGTTCTTCCACTTGTGGGCACTGTTTTCTGCCACACAGGGATATGTTCCACCACGTAATGGTTTTCCATTCATCCAGCCGTTGTACATCACAGAGCTCCCATCCACCCAGGTCCAGGGCTTCCGGGACATTCCTATCCACACATCCACGGCTGGCTTTAGGTTGAGGATTTCAAGGTTGGTTTCGGCGTCTTCGATCATCACCAGGTCTGTGTGGTGCTGTCGGCAGTAAGCTAGAGCATCCCACCAGGACATTGCAGAGTCCACGTATGTGTACAAGGGGCTGCTGGTGGTCTCTGTAAAAAAAGTAAGATTGAAGCTGAGGTAGATGAGTTTCAGACCATAAATCCAGATGTTCCAGATGTGACTGGAGGCGTGACAAATTTTTAAAGGCATATGCAACACCTATGGGGCCTACAGGTAGCCTTAATAACAAAGCAAGTCAGTCAATGTGTGGGTCTAACAGTCATTAGACAGCTTTTATTACAGGTAAAACTAAATGTTAAGGTTGATGGGTATGGAACAGGTGGGGATGCCACTGCAAGGGTGAGGCTCCACCCTAAAGCTGGGGTGAAAGAGACATGCTACAAGTGAAAAAACAAACAAGATTAATGCAAAGAAAACCGTTACCACAACTGAAAAAAACCAATTACAAGTGCCTCCACCACCACTATCTATAAATAAGGTCACCCTCTAAAGTGAGCTCCCTCCACACCCAGCTATCTCCAGCCTACACCCACTGCAGAGCTTCTATGGATTGGCAGTAGTATAATTCAAACTAAAAACTAAAAAAAAATGTCAATGTGAGCCTGTAAACAGTGCAGTTAATATAAAATGACTGTTAAGACCCTTTAAAATTATATTCACAAAAATACAAATTTGTTTTTTAACAAGATTAAAATAAACAAACAGATTTATTTGGCTCACCAGAAATAACCACTGTTGGGCACGTTACTTTGAAACTGTAATGCGTTATTTATTACCTATTACTGTCATTTCAAAGTAATTCGTTACATTACAATATTACTGCATTTAAAATGTAAGGCATTACATTACTATTGCATTACTTTAAGTTACTCTCACCAAAATAACTTTTGCGCTGTATATGGACTGAACCAGGACTAAACCAGGTCTAAACCAGGACTAAAACCAGAGCTGAACCAGGACTAAACTAGAACTGAACTAGGACTAAAACAGGACTCACTGTAGGGAAGGGCTCGAAGGTGACCGCAGGAGAAAGGAGCGGCTCTGCTCCGCACCTCACGGAGGTAAGAGCGGCTGTCACCCTGCTGCTCGGGCTCGCGGCCCTGATTTCAGCAACTATTTGCAGGTACCTGAGCCGGTGCAAGACTCTGTTACAGCGCGTAACTTCTACCTTCCTTCAGCGTGTCCAGAAGTCCAACTTTTTGTGTGATGGTTTGCATCTTCCTCTGCCTTTTGGGTGCGAGCGCAGGAGCCTTTGTCAGTGCAGAACGTTTCGTTGACGTTGTGGGTTTTTGTCGGGGAGAAAACTTGCAACCGTACAGCACTTCAGAATCACACTGCTAGAGATTGAACATGTATTTAAATTTGGCAGCTGAACACATTCTGTACTGTACAGGAGACAGGAGTCCTTTGGCCAGTCAGGACGCAGCGGGAGGAACGCAATACGCATTCATACAATGTAAAAAAAACAGGGCATGCAAAATTGCACAAAAAAAAAAAAAAAAAAAATCTGCGAGACAGCGAAAAGTGAACTGCGATAGAGGGAGGGTCGAGTGTAAACCAGGTCTAAACCAGAACTGACCCAGGTCTAAACCGGGTCTAAACAGCGTGGAGTTCTTTGTCAGTCCTTTCGCCCGCGGTTACCTGAAGGTCTATGAGGAGCATCTCCGGCGTTTCACCGCTGCTGATATCGAGGTGATTTTAGCGAATTTGTATGAAGAAAAACCCACCACTTCAATCCAGGTAAAAAAAACACTGTAACGCGCGTTACTCACATTTGTACCGAGTAAAATATTACTATTTTTTCCCCTGTAATGCCTTACATTACTGCGTTACAGCAAAAAGTAATGCATTACTGTAATTCGTTACTTTTATAACGCCTTACTCCCAACACTGGAAATAACCATGTGTTGGCCTGCTCAAGAAGAGGAAGTGAGCTGGTTCACCTCTAACCTTTATGGTCTTTATGGTCTCTGTCATGTGACACCACATGATCAGCGACCTTGCCACATCTATATCACACAGAACTGACTCTTGTGAGTTTTAACTCACAAAACTCACAAAAATATAGGTTTTTGTCAATGAAACAAAACACAACTTCACGTATGTTTTTGATGAAGAAACAACATTATAACATCGATCAGAAAATAGTGTAATATGGGCCCTTTTTATGACTCTAGTGACAGTTCACACCTGAGGTAAGTCTGTGGATCTGCCTCAGTGGTCAGTACTACTTACTGTAAAAAAAACTAGGGTGTGTTCCTAGGCACAGGCCATCAGGGCTGCCGCCCAGGGCGGCATCTCATAGGGGG